TTTCAAGCATTGATGTATCATCACATGTCGTTGTTGCCACCACCACAAGCATTTTTTAAGAAAAAATTAATTACGAAATAAGTGAAACGAATGAAGTGAAAAAACCCCCACAAGAATAAAAAAAAACTAAACTATATATAATAAAATAATTAAAAATAAATAAAATTGGTGGAAAATTAAAAAAGAAAATACAACTCGAATTTTAAAATCTCCCAAACCCCCTTCAAATCTGGCATCATAAATTATGGGCAACGGTTGTTCGAAATGTTGCAATTGCAACGATCGCAAATACTATCACGGCACACTCTCTTCTACCTCATCAGTGTATCGTAAAAGGTAAATAAAAGTATTTGAAAAAAAGAAAAACAAAGAAAAAATAAGATATCAAAACAAAAATGAATAAATATAAATAATTTAATATAAACAATATGTTGATCTGGCGGATGTTTATGTTTCCAGTTAATTGAAATACAAATAAATAAATGCTGGGAAAATAAATAAATTATTATTGGGGAGTATTGGAAAAGAATATAAATTCTTGTAGTGATAATTGACTGTTTTATGAAGTTGAAAAACTAAAAAAAAAAATAATTTTCCCAGAAAAAATCATATCAACACAAACTTATTTAGAGGTCTATAGTGGGATTTTCTAATTAATTTTTTTGTGTTACCGACAAAATTAGGTAACTTTGAAACCCAAAATTTAAAAACAAGAAGTTATAGTTGACAACACTAGTAGCTATCAGCGGGTCTTAGCGACTACTTTAATTTCGTTGCTAACTTTTCGATAAATTTTGTAATTTAACGGAATTATAAGCATTTTAATTTTACAGACATTTGTCTGCAACTCAAAAAAAAAAAAAAAAAAAAAAATAAATAAAATGAGTTCCACTACTGATTGAGAATTCCACTACTGTTGTGCATTAAAATACACTTTTTTAGTGATGTTCTAGTCCTTGAAAATTCTTCTTTAATTCCAGAAATAACCTTGAAAATCCTCTGACTCTCTTAGAAAAACTTAAGTTCTTGAAAAAGTATTCTTAAAAGTCTGCAGGTAGTCCTAGAGAGACCTAAGCGTCATGGTCCTTGACAGTCCTTGAAAAATCTATGTTTTTCATCCCCGAAGATATTTTAAGTTCTCCCCGGAAAAATTCATATACCCTCTGCCAATGTTTTATTATTTAAAAATATTTTGACTTCTCTTATGATTATTCAAATTGTTAACCCTCTATGGAGTAGATTCCGAAGAAATTGACCAATATTGTCCATTTCGTATCGGTCCCAAATATATATGATATAAATATTGCGACGTGCCAGGTTTGGTTACTTCCTTCACTTTATATGAGATATGTGATAATTTTTAGAAAAGGTTAAAATGTGCGTGAGGTACCAGATATAGACGACCCAAGTATTCCATTTTTATAATTCATCAAACACACATGACAATTTCGGTATGGGCAAAATTACAAGAACATCGACCATTGGTATCCAATTTTATGCGGAATCATAAATTCCATATTCATCCCAGGTTTCTGGTTGAGAGATATAATTAGTTGCAAAGAAACGCTGACATGTTTCGCTAGTTATGACAGATAAAAGTATTGAAAATTGTTACCCTTCGTGGGTGAGGTACCAGAAGGTGTTCGTAGATATATATCATCTTCACAACAGATCATTTTGTGTTAGCAAAAATGTTTGTGTGTGTGTGAAATTTGAAGAGAGTTGGATGCTTATTTTGCTTTCATTGAGCGATTTGGTTTTTTTTTAAAATCTTGAACACCATGTATGGGGCAGGTACCAGAAGAAATGGTCCGATCTCTACCATCTTTGTAACAGATCTCGTGCTGATGGAAATATTAAGATGTTCCAGGTCTAATAGGAATCGGATGTTAATTTCGTTTTTTGATGACCTTCAAGGATATTTTCACCATTTGTGCGGGAGATACCACCAGACCTTGGGTTAATAAAAATATTGTAATGTGTGTAATTTGAAGATAACCGGGTGCTTATTTCGGATCGTTTTGGTTATTCAAAACATCTAACCCTTGTGGGTGAGGTACCAGAAGGATGGTCAGATTTCTACCATCTTTATAACAAATCGTATGTCGATAGACATATTTGGATGTGACAAGTCTGAATGGAATCGGATATTAATTTTATGTTTTATGAGCTTCATGAATATTCAAATTATTGACCCTTTGTGGTGGAGGTACCAGAAGGAGTGGACCGATGTATTCCATCTTCACACCAGACCTAGTGTTAATTTCAATTTGTGTTGTGTGTAATTTGAAGACAATCGGACAGAATCGGAAATTTTGAATAATTATAACCCTTATAAAATGTGATGTAGCATTTTATAAGGGTTATAATTATTCAAAATGTTGACCCTTTGTGGGGAGTTACTTGATGGAGTGAACCGATATTGTCCATTTTCGCACCTGACCTAGAATCGACGTAAATATTAGGATTTGCAAAGATTGAGCTAAATTCGATTATCGTTCTTCTTTCTGTGCAGAAAATATATTTTTTGAAAATTTCGACCTTTTATGGGGAGATACTAGAAGGAGTGAACCGATATTGCTCTTCTCCGAACTCGATCTGACTTTGATAATAATATTAGGATGTACCAAGTTTGGACCAATTCGAATACTCCCATCTAGAGTTATCGTGCGCACCAGCCAGACAGACACACAGACGGACATCGCTAGATAATCTCCAAATATGCTGAAGCGGATTTGGTAACAAGAGTCCATGGGTTAGACCCGTTATTTCGATGAGACACGTTTTGGCCGTATCAATTGATATACACTCTCTGTAGCCATATGACTGAGGGTACAAATATTCAAATTCAAATATTTTGGCCCTTAAAAAATCTTGACACAAATTTGTCAAAAAATCTGTTAAAAGGTAGCACTAATTTACAGTTATTGGTCCCTAAATCCTTAAAAAATAAGGTTTTTGGTTTTTGTCCTTAATAGTAGTTGAAAAATCACGTTTTACGGTCGCTGTACAAATTTGAATAAAAAATCAGTCCTTCAAGATATATTGTTATTGAATTTCCACAGTCCCTAAAAATCCACGTAAATTGATATCTTGGACAATATATCCTCAAAGGTCCATTGATAGATCCTGAAAAATCTATATTTCGGGTCCTTGATTGTCCTTGAATACAAAATAATTTGTCGGTTCGTGACTGTTCCTATCAATCCAAGAAATATTTTTTAATGTCTCATTATTGGTAATTTTATGGTCCTCAAAAATTTTGAAACATAAAAAAAATATACTTCAGAAAGATTTTTAGTTCAGAAAAAATTTTTTAAATACAATTTCCTTGATAGTGATGAAAACATACCTGTAGAATTCCGCTGAAAATTTTCAGTTTATCATTCATCGACAGTCCATGAAATATTTACGTTTTTGATATTTTTGAAATTTTGCTAAAACATCAGTTAATATTAAGCTGAAAGACCTTGATATATTTAAGTGTATTTGTCCTCAATATTTTTTTAAAATATATCCTTCAAAGGCGAAATTATTTTGTTCTTCAAAATTCTTGAAGTTTTTTGGTCCTTGAAGAAAAAATGATACAAATTTGACAAAAAAAAAAACACTGGTTTCCATTTATTGGTCCTTAAATCCTTAAAATAAATAAAGTTTTTTTTGTCCTTGAAATCACGTCTTACGGTCTTTGTACAAATTTGAATAAAAAATCAGTCCTTCAAGATATATTGTTATTGAACTCCCACTGTCCCTAAAAAGGCACATTAATTGGTATCTTGGAAAATATATGTATTCTCCAAGGTCCATTCATAGCTCCTGAAAAATTTATATTTCGTGTCCTTGATTGTTCTTGAATACAAATTAATTTATCGGTTCGTAAGAAATATACCTATAGAATTTCGCTGAAAATTTTCAGTTTATCAATCATCGACAATCCATGAAATATTACCTTTTTTTGATTTTTCAAGAAATTTTGTTACAAAATCTATCAAGATTAAGCTGATAGTCCTTCATAAATTTAAGTGCATTTGACCTTAATGCCATTTGAAAAAATATCCTTTAAAACCCAAGTTAAAAAAATTAAATTTTTTGGTCCTTAAAGAAAAATTTATAAAAATTTGTCAGAAAAATCTGTTAAAAGTTAACGCTAATTTAAATCTTTGGTGCTTAAGTCCTTAAAAATTGCGCTCGTTGTACAAATTTGAATAAAAAAATGAGTCCTTCAAGAAATATTATTATTGAAATCCCGCAGTCCCTAAAAATTCACTTAAATTGGTATCTTGGACAGTATATCCGCAAAAGACTATTTATAGCCCCTGAAAAATCCATATTTCGGGTTCCTGACTGCCCTTTGAAAAAAAAACAGTTTTATTGGTACCTTAGGCCTTGAAAAATATCCTTTAGAATAAAGTTGAAAATATATGTTTTTGAAAGTCCTTGAAAAATTAAACATTGTTTGTCTGGTTATCCTTTAAATAAAAAAATCCATAAATCCAGGTCTGATAGCCCCAAAAATATGTATTTTGACTGATCCTTAAAACAATAAAAAGTTTGTAAGTTTTTGATAAAATCCTGATTCCTTTAAGAAAAAAACCAAATTTAATAGCTACGAAAATATCGCTTTTGTTATTAAAAAATATATAATCATTAGATATATTGTTATTTTTTATTTTTTTCTATATAAATTAGTTAGGGGAACTGATGGCGTATAATTACTGCCTGACTAATAAAATACTTATACGCCCTGGGGTTCTGATTAGTCACATAAAAAGCAGCTATTAAAAAAAAAAACAAAAAATAAATCAAATTAAAATATTTTATTTCTTCCGAAAGATTTACGAAATTCAATTAAATTCGATCATTAAAATTTTATGCGAAATCAATGGGCGTTCCAATTTTATGGATATTATATTGCCTTCGGCTTGCTTTTGTTTTCAGATTAGCCAATAAAATAAAATGCTAATTTAATTTATTTTTTTTTTCATTTGTATTTCTCGTAGGAGTCGTGGCGAACTACCCATCTACAATTCCGATCGTTTTCGTATCACACAGACCAGCAATGCTGTCCAGCTGGCCGTTGAACATGTCCAACGGGAGGATGCTGGCCACTACACCCTCATTGCGCGCACAAAGGCCAACGATGTTATACGAAAGAATATCGAACTGATTGTCGAGGATCGTTCAGCGGGCGAAGATCCACCAGTATTTGCCAGACGTTTAATGGATTTATCGGTTAAAGTTGGTACACGAACCAGATTTCTATTGGAGATACGAAGTTCGACAGAGGTTAAGGTAAGGGGACTGAAAATAAGTACTATTTTAAAGATATATATTGTTTTTAGATGAAAGGGCTAGAGAAGAGCTTGAAATCTTATCTGTGCATGAAGAATACAAGAAAGCTCTTCTGTTCAAAGAAAATGTTAATGAGATTTTCATTCTATAGAAGAGATTTATAAGGTCTTCTGTCTGTAGGAGAGCTTTTGGAATGTTATATCTGTAGAATAACTTTAAGAGCTATCCAGTATATAGGACACCATTTAAAAATTATCTTTCCGTATTCTTATTTCAATAAAAAGCTCCTTCTTTCTATAGGGGAGCTTAATAAGTTTTATGGGGCGTTAGAAAAGCTTTACAAAGTTTTCTGTTGGTGTGAAAGAAAACGGGCTTCGCCAGATCTTTTGTCGATTAGAGAGCTCTTATAAATCCTCTTTTCGTAGAAGAACCTTTGAAAGTCTTCTTTCCATACAAAAGCATTAAAGAGTCTTTTATCTACAGAGCTTTTAATTGTATTATTTCACAGAAGACTTTTAAAAGCTCTTCTTTTCATAGAAAATGTATTTACAGGAGCTTTAAAAGGTATTGTGTTTATATAAGAGCTTTAAAAGGCCTTCAATCTATAGAAGAGCTTTAAAAAGTCTTCTGTTTATAGAATAGATTTTAAAAGGCCTTCTGTTTATAAAAGAGCTTTAAAAGGCCTTCTGTTTATAGAATAACTTTAAAAGGTCTTTATTGGAATTTCTGTACCCGAAGCTTTAAAAGAACCCTGCAGAAAAGTTTGACATGATCTTCTGCCTATGGAAGAGCTTGATAAGGTTATATGTCTTCAGAAGTGCTTTATAAATTTTTAAAAAGCTTTTCTGACAGTCGAAAGTTTTATCTTGATAGGAGGAGCTGTATGAGGTCATATGTCTTCAGAAGAGCTTTAAACGATTTTTAGAAGCTTTTCTGACAGTCGAAGGTCTTTAAAAGCTTTTCTCTTATTAAAAGAGCTTTAAAAAGGACACTTTCAATATAAGACATTTCAAAGTTCTGCGATCTTGCAAAGATCTTTAAAAAGGCTTGGAATATATAAGTCTCTTGAACGCTCTTCGTCTATAGAAGACTATTTATGGAAGGCTTTAAAATTGCCTTCTGGATATAGAAGACCTTGAAGAGCTTTCTAAGCTATAAAAAACATTTAAAAGCTCTTCCGGCTCTAGAAGATCTAAAAAACTTTCTTCTGTAGTAGACCTATGAAAGCTCTTATGGCCATAGAATACTTTTGAAAGCTCCTCTATCTGTAGAGGATCTTTAGGGCGGTAGAAGACCTTCGGACTATCAGAATCCCTTTTTAAGGGGTCTCTATAGGGAGAAATATTATAAGAGAGGCATTCTTTAAAAGCTCTTCCATCTGCATAAGACTTTTAGTCCATATTCTGTCTATAGGATAACTGTAGATGATCCTCGGATTTTCGGAATCCCTTTTTAAGGATACCTATAGAGAGAAATATAGAAAAAGAGGCCTTATTTCTATAAAAAATTCTTTTTATGTTTTTTTCTCTTATTCGGAGAGTTCTAAAAAAGCTCATCATGGAGAGGCCTTCAATAGGTTTCAATTTTTTTCTATAGTGACAAAACCCTATAAACATAAATGCAGGCTCGCGAGCTCTCCGTGAACGTAAGTCTCTTCACCCACAATCATAATTAGGGAAAAAATACTCAGAGAACAATACAAATTGGGAGAACTTAAAAGTGAGACTTTCTGCCCGACACTGGTTTATAAAAAAAAACTTTTAGAGGTGAGATCTCCGTGAGCGTAAGTCTCCCATCACCCATAATCATAACCACTGAAAAAGATGTACTCAGAGAGCAATAAAAATTGGGATAACTTAAAAGAGAGACTTTCCGCTAGATACTACTCTTTGGAAAACCATTTTAGAGGTTACTCTGTAAAGAGAATATATGCGAGATCCCTCCATAGAAATAACCCCTTCTGAGGGTCTCTCTATGGAGAGAATTTATTCTTGAGAAGTTCTCTAGCCACGTCAGTCCTTGAGATTTGTTTCCAAAGATTTTTTGACATTCTAAATTCCTAAATTTAATCCTTGTTTTTTTTTTCCTTTTCCTCAGCTAACCTGGTATCGCAACGATCGTCGAATATGCGAAAATGATCGCATCAAACAGGTGCAAGAGGGCACCTACTACTGGCTGGAAGTGAGTCCGGTCATTCTAGAGGATGGCGGCCAATGGATGGTTATGGCTGAGAATTTAAGTGGACGTAATTCATGCATTTGTCATTTGAATGTTATGGTACCGAAGGCCTACAAGGCCCCTGAATTCGTTGAAGAACTGAAGGCAGTTCTAACCGAGCAGGGTACCGTATCGCTGGAGTGTAAAGTTGTGGGTGTACCCACACCACAATTGCGTTGGTTCAAAGATTCCAAAGAGATTAAGGCAGGCGACATATTTGCCTTGACGGCCAATGCAAATGATCCCACATCGTTGGGTACCTATACGTGTGAGGCTGTCAATTGTATGGGTAAGACCTATTCCAGCTCCAAGGTACATGTGGTGGGCCGTGGCAGTCGTGAGGGTTCTTTGAAACCGGCAGATAAGTAAGTTATTGGTTTCTTTGAGAGTCTCCTTTTTTATTGTGCTCTCATTTATCTCATTAATTCTCTTTTATACTCTCCCATTATTTAGCATGACAAATGGTGCTCCCCCGCCAATATTTACAAATGAACTGAAAAATGCCAGCGTTCGTATTGGTGACAGTATCGTGCTCGGATGCCAAGGTGAGTATGCCACAGTGCGAAAACATCATTAATTTAATTTGTTTCAGTTTTTCTTGGCGCCGTGCCAAAATTGCCCAACCATCAGCCATTCGGACTGAGAACCGCCAACGCTGCCCCAAACGAAATCAATCGAAAAAACACCGGTGGCAAACAAATGGCAAAACGAATTTCTTTCGTTCGCTCCCCGGTTTCTCGAACATAAACTTGAATTGAAACAAAATTTTTGGAATACCTCAGATAGTGGGGCAGGTCAACACTCGGCGGCGAATGGCATAGAATCGAATGCGAGCAGTAGCAGCAGCAAAGGAGAATTTCAAGATCAAAACAAAACAAATGAAATAAAACATTTGGTTTTCTCAGAGCACCGGGAAAAGAGCGGGAGAAACGTTGGCTAATTTCTCTCTTTTTTCTCTTCTCTTTGTTTGCATTTCTAGTGGCTGTGCCACCATGGCCCAAGAGCGTGGCCTGGTACAACAAAAATGGCCGTGTCGATGTTGGTGAGCGTTACAGACATGTTGAGGACGGTTTGGGTGTTTACATGATCGAAATCAATCCCTCGGAGGCCTGCGATGAGGGCGACTGGAAATGCGTGGTGACCAACAATGAAGGATGTGTTGGCATTTCATCGTGTGTGGTAAATATGGAGAGTAAGTAGATGTTGGAATTTTCGAAAAGGAAGAGAAAGTGAAGGATGAAAGGATCTCTAGAAATCTTAGGGAGTTATGAAAAACCTGGAGATCTTCTATTGGCATGTTTGTATTATTTTGGCCAGGGAAGAGTCCGATGTGTTATATTTTCTAAGGAGAAGCAAGAGGTCTTGAGATCTTAAGGTGTATTTTTTCTATTTAGAAGTCCTCCAAACTTCACTTTTTCTTCAATTATATTCCGATTTTTTTTCATTCCCTCATTCTTCCCCCCGCAGTACCCAAAAATTATCGCAAGCCTCGTTTTATGGAGAGTTTACGAGCCATCCTCACCGAAGAGGGTCTGGTGTCATTCGAATGTAAGGTGGTTGGTTTTCCAACACCAGTCCTTAAATGGTTCAAGGATGGCCAGGAATTGAAACCCGGCGATGTTTATCAGCTGACCGGAACCAATTCTCTGGGCACCTACTGCTGTGTGGCCAAGAACTGTATGGGTGAGAGCAGCAGTGTTGCCGTCCTCACCATCGAGGACATACAGAATCAGCTAAAGGAAGAGGATCGCATTTTGATTGGAGCCAACAATCAACCACCGAAATTTCTAATTGGTCTCAAGACCCAAGAGACGAAAATCAACGAACCCTTCCAGTTTATGGTGAAATTGGAAGCCAAGCCGGAACCATTGTTGTCGTGGTTCCGCGACGAAATACCCATTGAGATATGTGAATATTACAACTATTATCGCGGCGAGGAGGATAATTGGTATTTGGACATTGCCAATGTGGAGTTCTTAGATCAGGCTGAGTGGAAGTGTGTGGCGGTAAATGAGTTCGGAACGAGTGTGACTTCGTGTTTTTTGAAATTACAAATTCCGCGACACTACAAGAAACCGAGATTTTTGGAGAGTTTGAGGGCAGTGTTGACGGAGGAGGGCGCGGTGAATTTGGAGTGCAAGGTAATTGGTGTACCGCAGCCGGTGTTGAAGTGGTACAAAGATGGTGTGGAGCTGAAGCCGGGGGATATCCACAAAATCATATCGGGACAGGATGGCACCTGTTGTCTGGGTACCTACACCTGTGAGGCCCGCAATTGTATGGGCGTGGTGGCCAGTTCCGCCTCCCTGCTGGGCTTTGAGGATGCCCACACTAAACAAGAGTTGGAGAAACAAAATGAGTTGCAAAGGAATTTCTCTCTGTCCACCATTCAGGAGGAACGTACCTCCCAGTTATATGAGACGCCTCAAGGCACCGAGGTCTCCTTCTCCTTCGATGGCAAAGAGGTTTCGGTGTCATTGTATGAAACACCCGATTTGACCGAGGATGAGGCCATTAAAATTGTGGAAATGTATGCCGATCAAATATCCGAACATGTCACCGAACACAATGTGGTGGAATTGCCACCGCTGAGATTTGTCAAGGAAACCTCCCAGTCCGGAAAACTCCTCATGGAGGCAATGGTCATTGACATATCGCCCGAGTACTTCTCCCACGATGAAGATTTACGCACCGAGGCGGGCATGGATGATATTTCGTTAAATGAAATAACCATCCATGGCTCCTCGGTGAAGGATGAAAAGGAGTTGGAACAAAGGAACAAGGAGTTGGACGATTTGAAAATGGTCGTGGAGGAGGAGGGAGAGGTGACAGATGGTGTGACGGCTCCCTCACGTAAACGCAGGAAATCGAAAATTAAAAATGGCGAGGAATTTTGTAGTCCCGAGAAGACCATTAGCAGTTTGGAGGAGGTGGACTCCTCGGAGTTGCAAACCTTTGCCAGTGCTGTCCAGTCCCCTGTGGATTCTTCTTTCTATCAATCAATGGATGAGGGAGCAGCAGGATCGGGCCAGCAAGCACCCCCTGCCGCTAAAAAGGGTAAAAAAGACACCGGCAGTGAGACCACAGATACTGAGGGAGCTGCCTTCCAAGATCTGTCGGGAGCAGAGGGAGATGGCCTTATAATAACCCCAGCGAAACATCCCAAAAAGCAAGTCCTAAGTGCCGAGGAAATTGAGAGAAACCTCAAATCCCTTTTACCCCTGGCCAAGATGTTGAAGATTTTAGATGGCCACTTGAATGCTGTCGAGTCCGAGGTCATTGCCCAGTCGGTAATGTTGATGGCACCCTCTTCGGCCGACCAGTCTATTGCCATTATTAAGAATGTCATTGAACCCATTGGCCAAATACAATCGAAGCTAAAGGTCTACTCGGGTGATACCCCCCTGGACATGCTGTTCGAAACCATGAAGGATGACGTGCGCAATCTCCATGTGGCCCTGCAGGTCATTGAGAAATGTGTGGAAATCGATGAGACCGGCACGACATTGATCCAGAGGACCAGTGTCTGTATCATTGACAGTATTGCCGATCACATGATCAAGGCCCTGCAGGAGGTGAAGGCCGTTTCCAAACTCTTTGAGAATGAACATTTGCGCAGCCATTTGGAAATGACGGTGGACGATATACGTCAGGGTCTGGAAATTACCAAGGATACCATTAAATCCCAGGCCTTGCTGCAGGAGGCCCAGGAGCTGGAGGCCAGCAAGCATTTCACCGAGACCGTGGCCAAATTGCAAGACGTTCCCGAACCGGTGCCTTTCGAAAAAGTCAGCGATGCCCGGCTACCCAAGGATGCTGCCTTTGTGGCCATGATCTGTGAGCCGGTGATGCGCATCCAAGAGGCCTTGGAGCGGGTGGAAAATGAACTGACCCTGGAGGAGAGTGATGAAGATATTTATCTCAAGGTCCATGAGAAAATCATTGGCAATTTTGTACAACCCTTTGCCGATCTGCAAAAGGTGGTGGCAAAAATCGAGACTCGGGCCAATAGCTTGGCCGGATCGAATAGCATGGAATACAAGATTAATATGGCCATATTGGATATTGTCTCGCCACCTTTGTTTGAGTTGAAAAAAGGTTTGGAAATAATACAGGCCCAGCCCTCGCATAATATAGAGGCGGGAAAATTGACCGTTTCCACAGTGGAGTCTATGGTGCCGCCGCTACAGGAAATGCAAAATGGCTTGGCCCAACTTAGCCAGGATATTATGGCCGGGCATTTGGCTGAGGAGGCCTTTATGGACACCGATGACATGAAGAAGTTACTGCAGTCCCTGGCCCAGGCCGTGTTGCATTTGGAGACGAATATTGAGAATATCAATCAACGTCTGCCGGAGAATGTCAGCTCCAGTTTGTCGCGACTCAAGGAGGAAATATCCTCGCTCATAAGCCAGGTCATAGATAAGGAAATCGACAAATATCATCTAACCGTTTTGGAGAACATCAAGCGGCCCATTGATGAGCTGAACTATTGTATCCGGCAAATAGAGCAAAAGGCCATTTCTGGATCCCTTACCGATCTGGTTGATCCTTTGCATAGCCTCAACGATAAAATCAAAGTCAGCCAGGGCATTTTGGACCTTTCCCCCCTAAAACAGAACGAAGATGTGGCCGAGACCCTGTTCAAAATCAGGGATCTCATAAAACGCATTGAAATTGGCATTGAAGAGGCCGAGTTCAAATCCCTGCAAAAGGAAATCGAATTGGATGAACAACAGGCCGCCAAGGAGCAAAATCTCTTTGCGGCAATGCGCCAAGAAATGGAATTGAAAATCGATTTGAGTGAGGGCATTAAGGAGCTGCAGAGCCTTATGGAAAACATTGGTATGTTACAGGAAATGAAATATTTGGATCACAAACTTGAGTCCAGCTTGGTGGACCTAAAGTCACCCCTGCAAAGAATGTCGGATGAGTTCAAACACCAAGAGATCCAGGGAGTTGACATCAAATCGCTCATGGCCTCGGTGAGGGCCTTAAAGGTTATATCACCACACATTGCCAAGCTGAATATGTCCCTGGAAAAATTAGGCGGCATGCGCAGCCGCGAGGAGTTCCATAAATTCTTCAGCAAAAATTGCCACAACCACTTCGAGGAACTGAAAATGGCCATAGATCAAATGGAATACTTTGATGAGTCGACGGGCATTAATCTGCCCATATCCGTGGCAGATACCTTTGACAAGACCCTGGTGGCCTTGGAGAATTTGATTTCCAAATGTTTGACCCGGATCCATGACACCGAGGAGCTGTTGACCACTTTGGAGGAAATTTCTCCCATGCACACCACCATTGAGTCCCTGCCATCGGATTATGTCACGCCCGGTCCCCTGCAGGCCTTCGAAGAGAAACGGGCTCAGGTGGATCAATTGCTGGGCCAGCTGAAACAGAGTATTGCCTCGGTATTGGGTCATTGCCAGGAACTGGATTCCTCTGGCTCGGTGCGTGAAGAATCCCAGGAGAAATTGAAAAAAGCCCAAGAGAAGATTCACATGTTCCAAGAAACGCTGGAACGCAGCCTACAATCTCCGGCATTCGATAAGGCCCAAACCTTGTCGGAGGTATCCCAGGCCAATTCCATTGCAGAGGCAATTACCAATTTGGAGTATTGTGCCCTTCAGATACAGGAATTTGTGCAATATCAGGATGTCCAGTCGCTCAAGGAAGAGGAAGTATTCCAATTGAAAGCCATGGCCAAGCCGTTAAAGGAAATTGTGGAAGCTGTTCGTGGATTCTACAATCAAGAATTGGAACAGGCCGAATCAATGGCCACTTTGTCACAGGCTTCACAATTATCCTGCTCCGAGTTGTTGAGAAGCATAACTCCCTACCTGGTGGCGGTGCAGGAACAACAAGCCCTGGAGACTTTGGAAAGTCTTAGCGAAAGATCCACTCCTCTTCAGCAACTCATTAAACCGCTACGAGAATTGGAAAAATCTCTCATCTGCTGCGAAGAACAAATTTTACTCTCACACACTTCTTCCCTCTCTGAACAACAATCCATGGAGCAATTGAAAGTCGTTGCCAAACCTTTGCTTCTGCTCAAGGAAGCCATTGTTATGGTCAAGCAGGAACACAGTTTCCAATCCCTGCAACAATGTCCTGACTTGCAATTGCTCCAGGAGGAGCAACAATGTGCAACCCTCTTTAATCTCTTGAAATACTGTGAGAGTTTGGATACCCAAATTCTGGAAAATATTGACGAATTATCCTCCCTGGACTTGTCGGAAATGAAATCGATGGCAGAAATGCGTTCCGTAACGCCCATGACTCCAGCTGGGCCAGCAGTGATCTCGCATCAGGTGGAGGTGAAAACTTTCGATCTCAAAGACTGTGTGGCTGGCGGCATTAAACAGCTGGAGGAATGCCTGGAATCAACCAAGAAATTGACCACCATTGAGGTTACCGAAATTGAGTCCATAATGCAGGATCTCAAATCAGATTTACAGGATATGCAAAAACAGCTGCTGCTCACCCCTTCAGATCTGCAACAGAAGGAGCAACAGGTGGCCAAGACAATGTTTAAACTCAAGGAATGTTTGGTCCACACCTATGAAGCTTCCGGTCTAGATGTAGGGCTGGAAGAAATTGAAAAGACCTTTGAAGATCTGCTACAAGCCATGCCCAGCCTGGAACATCAATTGGCCTTGGAGATGAAGGAGAAAATCAAATTTGCCCTTTCCGAATTCGTTGTCCAGTGTTTGCAGCATCCAGAGGGTGGCATTGATCAATTGGTGCCAGTCTTCCGGAATCTGCTGGAGACACTTGAAATTATTACAAAATCCCAAAAGGTGGAAATCGAACCAAGTTCCAGTGTCATTGTCCAGCTGCAAACCCAACTCATGGCCGCCTTTAATACCCTCAATGACCTCAGCGAAGTAAGCAGAGATGTGACCATGAGAGGGCAACTCAAGGAGTCAGTCAAAACCCTGCTCTATATTTACGATTTCATTGAGAACAATGAGGGTAATATGCGAATCATTGAGCTGCTGCAGGAAATTGATGCTCTAAGTCCCCAGCTAAAGGATATTTCCCGTCACCTTATGACCCAACCCGCTGCCGTAGATGAGGCTGAAATGCAGCTACTGCTTCAACAGGTCAATGAGACCCAGACATTCCTGACCCAAATTCAAGAGGGTTTGGTCAACAATAATCCTTTAGTACAGAAATTCCTGGAGCTACATCAACCCATGGTAGGTCAATTGAAGAATACCCTGATACAAGTTCAGCAGAAACTTCAGGAACCCCAGAAAGTAGAGGTACAAAAACTTCCCGAGGTCCAGGTTATGAAGGCTTTGCTGCAAGACCTGCAAAAGGATATGGCCGAAATCCAACAGGTCGAGGGTAAACAGCTCAAGGCAGAGGCCGAACTTTTATTGGCCGAGGTCCAAGAAGGTTTGGTAGAAAATAATCCCATGGTTGTACAATTCATGGAACAATATCAGAGCCAGCTTACCCTGCTGAAGGACACCTTGACGGAGGTGAAAAAAGAGCTCGAAGGACCAAAGGCCCTGGAACTCCAACAATTGAAATTTGTGCCTTTGATGGCGCAAATTTTAGAAGAGCTCAAGGGTAATTTGGAAAAGATGGAAATAATGGAAACCAAGGAGCCCCAAAAGCCAATCGTACAGGAACTCGAAACAGCTCCTCAAAAGGCCAAGATCCTGGAGCTGAAGGAAGAGGCTCAACTATTTTTAAGCGAAATGCAAGAAGGTTTGGTTGAAAACAAACCGGTGGCCTTGAAATTTATGGAACAAAACCAAACGCAAGTGGGTCAACTCATGGATGCCCTGAAACTGGTGGAAAAGGAACTCGAAGGACCAAAATCCGCCGAAACGCAAGAATTAAAATCTGTGCCCATGATGGCAGGTCTCTTGCAAGAACTCAAGGGAAATTTGGAGAAATTGCAGGTTCAAGAAGTTACCATGGAATCAAAGGCTCAAAAATTGGAGAGCCAAGAGGCAAAGGTAGCCCCTCAAAGGGCTCAACTTATGGAACTGAAAGAAGAAGCCCAACTCTTCCTCGTGGAAATGCAGGAGGGTTTGGTGGAAAATCAGCCTCTGGCCCTGAAATTCATGGAACAAAACCAAAAGCAAGTTGGCAAACTGAAGGAGGCCTTAAATGTGGTTGAGCAGGAGCTCGAAGGACCAAAATCATTGGAAGTCAAGGAACTAAATTCCCTTCCCATGGTGGCCGGTCTCCTGCAGGAACTCAAGGGAAATTTGGAAAAATTACAAGTCCAAGAAGTTGCCATGAAGTCTGAGGCTCAAAAATTGGAAACCAAAGAAACAGATTTGGCGCCTCAACGGGCCCAACTTTCGGAATTGAAGGAAGAAGCCCAACTCTTTCTCATGGAAATGCAGGAGGGTTTGGTGGAAAGCCAACCCTTGGCCCTTAAATTCATGGAACAAAATCAAAAGCAGGTCGGCCAACTGAAGGAGGCCTTAAATGTGGTGGAGCAAGAGCTCGAAGGACCAAAATCATTGGATGTTAAGGAATTGAAATCCCTACCTTTGGTGGCCGGCCTCCTGCAGGAACTCAAGGGAAATTTGGAGAAATTGCAAATTCAAGAAGTTACCGTAGATGCTAAGGCCCAAAAATTGGAAACCAAAGAAGCAGGTTTGGCCCCCCAACGGGCTCAACTTATGGAACTGAAAGAACAGGCCCATCTCTTCCTCATGGAAATGCAGGAGGGTTTGGTGGAAAATCAGCCCTTGGCCCTGAAATTCATGGAACAAAACCAAACGCAAGTTGGCAAACTGAAAGAAGTCTTAAATGTGGTAGAGCAGGAACTCGAAGGACCAAAATCTTTGGAGGTCCAAGAACTGAAATCCCTGCCCATGATGGCTGAAATTCTACAAAATCTCAAAGGAAATTTGGAGAAACTGCAAATCGAAGAAGTTCAGATGGCAGAGGCGCCAGCTCAACAACCCCAAACAGAAGTGGTGGCCCAAAAACCACGTATCGTTGAACTCAAAGAAGAGGCCCAACTTTTCCTGGCCGAAATGGAAGAGGGCATTGTGGAGAACAATGCCTTGGCCATTAAATTCATGAGACAGAATCAAAGTCAGGTGGCAAAGCTGAAGAAGACCCTAAATCTCATAGAACAAGGGCTCGAAGGACCAAAAGTTGCGGTGGTACAACAGTTCCAACACATACCGCTGATGGCGGAATTACTGGAAGGTTTGAAGGGTAATTTGGAAAAATTACAGCTTACCGAAGGTATACTGGAAAGCCAGGCCAAGAAGCCCCAGGCCAAAGATGTAAAAATCGAGGAACCACAAAAGGCCGAAATTGCCGAGGTCAAAGAGGAAACCAAACAATTTTTGTCCGAAATGCAGGAGGGTCTCGTGGAAAAGAATGTTGTTGCCTTGAAGTTCATGAATCAAAACAAGGCCATGGTGGGCAAATTAATGGAAATTCTGAACGTGGTGGAACATGAAATGCAGGCCCCACAGCTCCCCAAAGAACTGCAATTCGAACATTTCCCTCTCATGGCAGAACTTTTGACCAGTCTCAAGGATAATTTGGAAAAACTACAGCTAACTGAGGAAAGATTTGAGGCCAAGGCGCAAAAGGCCGTGGCCCAGGAACGTCAAGCCTTGTTGCACAAGGCCCAAATATCCGAAATTAAGGAGGAGGCCCAACTTTTCCTCGAAGAAATGCAGGAGGGTTTAATGGAAAATAATCCTATTGCCATACAATTTATGGAGCTGAATAAGTCCAAGGTGGCTTTGTTAAAGGAAACCTTGGTCCTGGTTGAACATGAGCTCGAGGGAGCAAAAAGCATGCAGGTTCATGATTTGAAACACTCTCCGCTGATGGCAGAACTTTTGCAAAATCTCAAGGAGAATTTGGAAAAATTGCAAATTATGGAAGTGGAACAGAAACCAGAGGCCCAACAAACTGTGGAACAGGACCTGGCGGAGACCAAGCTGCAGAAGGGAGAAATTAGTGAAACTCCAAAGGAAACCGAAGAACAAAAACCCACTGAAAAAGAAGTTAAAATTATTGCCGAAAAGGCCGACATCTCAGAGGCCAAGAAGAAGGAAGAAAAACCTAAACCTATCAAGGAAGCCTATCTCGAGGAGGTTTTACAAACCATTCTTCTGTCTTTGGACCACATAACCCTGATTAAAAAGTCTCAACTGAACCAGGCCCAGCAAGAAGTAGTGCGATCCATTGCCGACAATCTCAAAGAGCTACAAATGGCCATAGAAGAGGAGAGCGCCACACGCATTGAGGATCGCCTGTTCTTGACTCTGTTCAAGACAAAGGAACTGCTGAAATGCTCAGTGCTGCGGCAGGACAAATCCCCAGAATCTGCGGAGTTATTAAAGAACTTCAACAAGGTCTTTATACTCATCCTCAATGGCAATGATCAGTTGAGGAAGTCCATACTGTACGACCTCAAGGAAAATATTTCCTCCTCTGCCCAAGAAATTATAACTGTGGCGGAACAACAAACCACAGGGGCGTCGGGAAAATTGGGAAAACTATGTCAAACCCTGCAAAGTCTTAAAATCCAGTTGGATGATATCCATCAAAACAATCGCGGAAACATGAAACTGAACAGTGAACATTTCCAAAAACTGCAAGAATATGTCCAACAAATCGTACAACTAACCGAGGGTTGTCCTGACGTGGATAGGCAGCCCCTTACTACGTTGGCAGATAAATTGAAGCGTCAAGAAATCCAAGAAGCCTTGGAAATCCTACAAGAATTGGATAGTATGCAAGGCATGTTCAAACAAATCGTACAACTTATCGTAGATAATAAATTCCCGCAAAAATCTTTGGAGTCCAGTGTGGAAATGGCCATGGAAAAGCTATCCACTGCCGGAGAGGAGTCCCAACAAATCAAGACGGACTTGCAAGAGGCCCTAGAATCCCAAAATCAGGAGGAAAAACGCAAATGTATTTTTAAACTGCGCGAACACATTGTCCACACTTATGACGGCTCATTCCGGGAAGAATTGGAAAATGTTGTCGACTCTTTGTTAGAAGGTAACACCGAACTTATTGAAGAATTCAACGCAGAATCCCTACAAAAAGTTGAGGAACTTTTGAATTGTCTCAAAGAGAAGGTGGAATTGGTACCCTCAGAAACATGGAAACCCAAGCTGGAGGGTCTCAACTCAAAACTCTCAAATCTGCAGAAGGTGAGTGAAACCCTCAAGGTCTCCAAAGATGTGGACAAATCCACGGTTAGCATGATTGAATTGCAAAAGAATCTTATGGATATCTTCGTAATGTTTGATGATATGTTGGAGCTCAAAAATCGTCAGGTGGAACCCCATTTGGAGGAGGTGAAATCCCTGGCCCTAAAACAATATGATGAGATTGAAAAGTCCACGGAAAATGTAAGAACTCTTAGGGTTTATGAGGACATTTTGAAATTGGGAAAAGCCATGGAACAGGTATTGGAAATGGTATCCAGTTTAGCGGCTCTAAAAGCTGAACTATTGGAAGAATCTCAAATGGAGGCCATTGCCAAGAAGGCAGACGAGAAGGAGGTGAAATCCGAGCCAGCTAAGGCTGAGGTATCAGAGGTGACGGCACAAAAGGTAGAGGAAAAGAAACTTGAAACTGAGAGCCAGAAACTGGAGGAGAAGGAAGTTAAGGCACCTGAGGCAAAGGCTGAGGTATCTGAAGTTAAATCCGAAAAGGTTGAGGAAAAGAAGGTGGAAGCTGAAGCCAAAAAACCCGAAGAGAAGGATGTCAAGTCTGCTGCAGCTAAGGCTGAGGTATCCGAGGTTAAACCCGAAAGGGCAGAAGAAAAGAAGGTTGAAGCTGAAGCTAAAAAACCAGAAGAGAAAGATGTCAAGTCTGCTGCAGCTAAGGCTGAGGTGTCGGAGGTTAAGCCCGAAAAGGCAGAGGAGAAGATGGTTGAATCTGAACCTAAGAAACCCGAGGAGAAGGATGTCAAATCTACCGCAGCTAAGGCTGAGGTGTCGGAGGTTAAGCTCGAAAAGGCAGAGGAGAAGAAGGTGGAAGCTGATGCCAAGAAACCAGAAGAGAAGGATGACAAATCTGCTGCAGCTAAGGCTGAGGTGTCGGAGGTTAAGCCCGAAAAGGCAGAGGAAAAGAAGGTAGAAGTTGAAACAAAGAAACCAGAAGAGAAGGAGGTCAAGTCTGATGCAGCTAAGGCTGAGGTATCCGAAGTTAAACTCGAAAAGGTCGAGGAAAAGAAGATGGAAGCTGAAGCCAAGAAACCAGAAGAGAAGGACGTCAAATCTGCCGCAGCTAAAGCTCAAGTATCCGAGGTTAAACCTGAAAAGGTTGAAGAGAAGAATCTGGAAACTGAACCTAAGAAGCCCGAGGAGAAGGATGTCAAATCTACCGCAGCTAAGGCTGACGTATCCGAAGTTAAGCCCGAAAAGGTCGAGGAAAAGAAGGTGGAAGCTGAAGCCAAGAAACCAGAAGAGAAGGATGTCAAATCCGCTGCAGCTAAGGCTGAGGTGTCGGAGGTTAAGCCCGAAAAGGCAGAGGAAAAGAAGGTAGAAGTTGAAACTAAGAAACCAGAAGAGAAGGACGTCAAGTCTGATGCAGCTAAGGCTGAAGTGTCCGAAGTTAAACTCGAAAAGGTCGAGGAAAAGAAGATGGAAGCTGAAGCTAAGAAACCAGAAGAGAAGGACATCAAATCTCCCACAGCTAAGGCAGAAGTATCCGAGGTTAAATCCGAAAAGGTTGAGGAAAAGAAGGTGGAAGCTGAAGCCAAGAAACCAGAAGAGAAGGACGTCAAATCTGCTGCAGCTAAGGCTGAGGTGTCCGAGGTTAAACCCGAGAAGGCAGAGGAGAAGAAGGTGGATACTGAACTTAAGAAGCCCGAGGAGAATGACGTCAAATCTACCGCAGCTAAGGCTGAGGTATCCGAAGTTAAGGCCGAAAAGGCAGAGGAGAAGAAGGTGGAAGCTGAAGCCAAGAAACCAGAAGAGAAGGACGTCAAATCTGCCGCAGCCAAGGCTGAGGTATCCGAAGTTAAACCCGAAAAGGCAGAGGAGAAGAAGGTGGATACTGAACCTAAGAAGCCCGAAGAGAAGGACGTCAAATCTGCCGCAGCTAAGGCTGAGGTATCCGAAGTTAAACCCGAAAAGGTCGAGGACAAGAAGATGGAAACTGAAGCCAAGAAACCAGAAGAGAAGGACATCAAATCTGCTGCAGCTAAGGCTGAGGTGTCGGAGGTTAAGCCCGAAAAGGTCGAGGAAAAGAAGGTTGAAGCTGAACCAAAGAAACCCGAGGAGAAGGATGTCAAGACTACCGCCGCCAAGGCTGAAGTATCCGAAGTTAAACCCGAAAAGGTCGAGGATAAGAAGATGGAAGCTGAAGCCAAGAAACCAGAAGAGAAGGACGTCAAATCTGCTGCAGCTAAGGCTGAGGTATCCGACGTTAAACCCGAAAAGGTCGAGGAAAAGAAGATGGAAGCTGAACCAAAGAAACCCGAGGAGAAGGGTGTCAAGACTGCCGCCGCCAAGGCTGAAGTATCCGAAGCTGAAGTTACCGTGGAAAGTTGCATTGAAAAAGCCCTCCATACCATACCCGACACCAAGGAGTGCCGTGAACTCAGAAATGCTCTGGAAGAAGCCTTACAATCCACAACGGAAGAACAAAAACGAAAATCGATTTTCCGATTACGCGAAACAATCGTCCACACCTACGATGGACGGTTCGCCAGCGAAGTTGATAGTGTCATCGATGCTTTGCTTGAAAATAATCCCGATCTCATTGAATCGGTTAATCGCGAACATTTGCAAAATATTGAGAGCTGTATTAAATCGCTTAAATTACGAGTTGATTCGATACTCATTAAGCCATGGCAAACGGAATTCGAGGGTCTCAATTCAAAACTAAGTGCCATTCAAAATGTAGCCGCCGCCCTGAGACCCACGAAGGATGTACACAAGTCCTCGGTGAATATGGTGGAGTTGCAAAAGAATCTTATGGATATCTTTGTAATGTTTGACGATATGTTGGCCATAAAACCGAATGCAATGGAAGCGGAACTTGAACAGGTGAAAAAGCTGGCCCTGGGCCAATATGATGCTGTAGAAAATGCCAAAGATAATCTGCGAACTTTACATGTCTATGAGGATATTATGAAGTTATGTAAATCCATGGAGAAGGTTGTGAGAACAATTTTGGATATGGCGCCCAACGTGGCAGAGGATGTTCCATTGGAGACCTTGAAGAGCGATGAAGCCAAGGAAGAAAAGAAAATCGAAAGTGAAACTAAGAAATCCGAAGAGAAGGATGTTAAGGCCGCAGCTACAAATGCAGAAGTATCTGAGGTTAAGGCTGATAAGGTGGAGGAAAAGAAACTTGATGCGGAAGCCAAGAAGTTGGATAAGAAGGAAGTCAAGGCAGAAAGTGTCAAGGCTGAGGTGTCGGAAATTAAGGCTGAGCAGAAAGAAGAAAATAAATTGGATTCGAAGGCCAAGAAGTTGGAGAAGCAGGAAGTCAAGACAGAAAGTGCCAAGGCTGAGGTGTCAGAGGTCAAACCGGAAAAGGTGGAAGAACAGAAATTGGACGCAGAAGCCAAGAAGGCAGAAAAGAAGGAGGTTAAGACAGAAGCGGCAAAGGCTGAAGTTTCGGAGGTCAAACCTGAAAAGCTGGAAGAAAAGAAATTGGACACAGAAGCCAAGAAGGCAGAAAAGAAGGAGGTCAAGAGAGAAGCTGCAAAGGCTGAGGTTTCAGAGGTCAAACCTGAAAAGCTGGAAGAAAAGAAACTGGACACAGAAGCCAAGAAGGCAGAAAAGAAGGAGATCAAGACCGAAGCTACTAAACCTGAGGTCTCCGAAGTCAAGTCTGAAAAGGTGGAGGAAAAGAAAATGGACACAGATGCCAAGAAGGTGGAAAAGAAGGAAGTCAAGACCGAATCCACCAAACCTGAGGTCTCCGAAGTCAAAGCCGAGCAGAAAGAAGAAAAGAAACTGGAAACCGAAACCAAAAAATTGGAAGAGAAGCAGGTCAAACCAGAACCTTCCAAGGCTGAGGTGGCCCACATTAAGTCTCCACTGGAAATTTCTGTTGATGTTACCTTGCAGAAAGCCTCAGATGTCGCTGATAGTCAAGACCTCAACCAAACCCTCAAGGATGTACTGCAGTCTCATACCGATGGACAGAAACGTCAATGCATTTATAAACTAATAGAACTCGCCAAGCGATCCTATGGAACGACAAATCTTACTCCGGAAATTGATGATGTTATCGATTGCCTGCTGAACGATAATCAGGAACTGATCGAAACCATCAACACGGAGTATGCCAAGAATATTGACAGTATTATTAAATCATTGAAACTGAAGCTGGACAATGTGACCGACAACTATTGGGAAAGCAAATTGGACGGCTTACATTCCAAACTCTCGAGCATTCAAAAGGTGGTCAATGCCCTGAAATGGGACAAGGATATGCCCAAGTCATCGCTGAACATGGTCGAACTGCAGAAGAGCCTCATGGAAATGTTTGTTATGTTTGACGATATGTTGGACACAAAATATCCTCAAATACAACCGCATTTGGAAAAGGTCAAATCGTTGGCTCTGAGTCAATACGATTCCATTGATAAGGCTCAGAGGAACGTTCGTTCCTTGAATGTCTACGAAGATGCTCTGACACTGTGTCAGTCCATTGAAAGTGTTATAAAGAAGGTCTCAGAAATATCAGCCGAGAAGTTGGAAGAAAAGGTACTGGAAGTGGAGAGCAAGAAACCCAAGGAAGAGGAGGTGAAAACTACTGATGCTTCTAAGGCCAAGGTATCTGAAATTAAGGCTGAAAAGGCAGAAGAAAAGGAAGCAGAATCCAAGTCCAAAAAGGTGGAAGAGAAATATGTCAAACGAAGAGCCTCCAAGGCTGAAATTTCTGAAGTCAGGGCGGAGAAATTGGAAGAGAAGAAGGCGGAAACTGAATTCCAGAAAGTCGAAAAGAAGGATATTAAACGTAAGTCCTCCAAGGCAGAGATTTCTGAGGTCAAGGCGGAGAAATTGGAAGAAAAGAAAATCGAAACGGAAGCCAAGAAACAAGAAGAGAAGGTTCTTAAGAAGGAAGCTTCTAAATCAGAAGTATCTGAGGTTAAGGCCGAGAAAATTGAGGAAGGCAAAGTGGAAGCTGAGACCAAAAAACCAGAGAAAAAGGACGAAAAACGCAAGTCCTCCAAGGCCGAAATTTCGGAAGTCAAGCCTGAGAAATCGGAAGAAAAGAAATTGGAAACGGAAGCCAAGAAAAAAGAAGAAAAGGACATCAAAGCGGAAGCTTCTAAAGCAGAGGTATCAGAAGTCAAGGCCGAGAAAATCGAGGAAGGCAAAGTGGAAACAGAGGCCAAGAAGCCAGAGAAGAAGGACGTTAAACGCAAATCTTCAAAGCCTGAAATCTCCGAGGTCAAGGCTGAAAAATTGGAAGACAAGAAAATCGAAACTGAAGCCAAGAAACAAGAAGAGAAGGACCTTAAAAAGGAAGCTTCTAAGTCTGAAGTATCTGAGGTTAAGACCGAGAAAATCGAGGAAGGCAAAGTGGAAGCTGAGCCTAAGAAGCCAGAGAAGAAGGACGAAAAACGCAAGTCCTCCAAGGCCGAAATTTCGGAAGTCAAGCCTGAGAAATTGGAAGAAAAGAAAATGGAAACGGAAGCCAAGATACAAGAAGAGAAGGATATTAAGAAGGAAGCTTCTAAATCAGAAGTATCTGAGGTCAAAGCAGAGAAAATCGAGGAAGGCAAGAAACCCGAAAAGAAGGATTCTAAACGTAAATCTTCCAAGGCGGAGGTTTCAGAGAAGGTTGAAGAAAAGAAATTGGACAAAGATACCAAAAAGGACGAAGAAAAAGAGAAAGTTGAAGAAAAGAAACCTGAAGTTGAAACAAAGAAACCCGAAGAGAAAACTGAAGTTATGGCTGAAAAGAGAGCAGAAACCGAAATCAAGAAGCCAGAAGCAAAGGAAATTGAAAAGCCTGAGGTTAAAGCCCAAAAGGTCGAAGAGAAAAAGGCTGATGAAGCCAAGAAAGAGGATGACAAAAAGGAAGAAGTTAAGAAGGACGTTAAGCGCAAGCCTTCCAAGACTGATGACACAGAAGAGAGGGCCAAGGAAATGGAAGCAGAGAAGCCATCTCCAAAGGTTGAGGAAGCCGAAGAAAAACCAACAAAGAAATCTGAAGACAAGAAGGAGACTAAACGCAAGTCCCCCAAAACCAAACCTGAAAAGACCGAAGAGAAAGCAACTGAATTGGAAAGTAAGAAGGACGAAGAAAAAGAAAAGCCATCGCCAAAGATGAAACCCAAAGAAGAAGAAAAGTTGCCCAAGGAAGCCCCTACAAAGACTGCCATAGCCCAGGAAGAACAAATCGAAGATAAAAACGCCACCCTCACTAGACGCCCACGTAAAGCCGTTGCCGAGCCGCCTACCGAAGATTCCGCTGAAACCAAACCCAAAGAACCAGAGGAACTGTCCAAGGAAGCCCCAAGAAATACTGCCACCGCCAAGGAAGAACAAATCGAAGATAAAAACGCCACCCTCACAAGACGCCCACGCACAGCCGTTGCCGAACCGGCAACCGAAGACTCCACCGAAACCAAACCCAAGAAACTCAACGAATACATCGATCTCAAAGAGCAGCGCAGCGCCAAACGAATGCCCTCGGTCGACATCAAGCTGACGAATCGCAACACCTCCGTCGGCAGTGACATCAAATTGACCTGCAGCATTTCCGGCAATGACCTTGAAATACGCTGGTACAAAGACAAACAACCCATCGATGCGGAGCGGAATGCCTCCAAATACCGCATCACTCAAAATGACGGACTTTCGTGTTTGGAAATCAAATCGGCCGATCAACAAGATGCAGCCGTCTACAGATGTGTGGCCGCAAATCGGAACGGTGAGGTGGAAACTAGCTGCCTCGTGACACTGTACGATGTGCCCAGCAACAAATTTGGCACCCCGCCCATTTTCACCCGTAATATCAGAGGTATGCTAATCGATTTTAAGTTTGCTCAGCTTTGATTCGAATCGATGCTATTCGTATTTGTTTTACTTTTTTTTCGATGCACTTCTTACAATGGCAGACGTTGTTCGATTTTTTTATGGTTGTTGTTTTGAATTGAATGTTTTATTTGAATTCAAAGACGTCGAAGTAGAAGAAGCACAATTTCATTGATGCCCTACATGCATGCCAGGCAGAGAAATTGCTGCGACAAGATTTTGAAATTATCCATGGCTAGAAGACAATCAGAAACTCTTCTACATGTAGAAGAGCTACTGGAGGTCTTCTATGCGTAAAATAACTAATGCAGTTCTTCTAAATATATAGAAGAGGTTATGCAGCTCTTCTAAGTGTAGACGGGCTCCTGCAGAACAGCTTGAGAAGCTCTTTTACGTATAGAAGAGCTTGATGAGGTCTTCTATGATTTGAAGAGCTTAAGGAGCTCTTTTATGCTTTGAAGAGTACTTGAAGCTCTTCTATGCTGTGAAGAGCCCCTGAAGCTCTTCTATGCTGTGAAGAGCTCCTGAAGCTCTTCTATGCTGTGAAGAGCTCCTGAAGCTCTTCTATGCTGTGAAGAGCTCCTGAAGCTCTTCTGTGCTGTGAAGAGCTCCTGAAGCTCTTCTATGCTGTGAAGAGCTCCTGAAGCTCTTCTGTGCTGTGAAGAGCTCCTGAAGCTCTTCTATGCTGTGAAGAGCTCCTGAAGCTCTTCTATGCTGTGAAGAGCTCCTGAAGCTCTTCTATGCTGTGAAGAGCTTCTGAAGCTCTTATATGCTTCGAAGAGCCCCTGAAGCTCTTATATGCTTCGAAGAGCCCCTGAAGCTCTTCTATGCTGTGAAGAGCTCCTGAAGCTCTTCTATACGTAGAAGACCTGCTGAAGCTCTTCTATACGTAGAAGACCTGCTGAAGCTCTTCTATACGTAGAAGACCTGCTGAAGCTCTTCTATACGTAGAAGACCTGCTGAAGCTCTTCTATACGTAGAAGACCTGCTGAAGCTCTTCTATAAGTAGAAGACCTGCTGAAGCTCTTCTGTACGTAGAAGAGCTCCCGAAGCTCTTCTATGCTGTGAAGAGCTCCTGAAGCTCTTATATGCTGTGAAGAGCTCCTGAAGCTCTTCTATACGTAGAAGAGCTCCCGAAGCTCTTCTATACGTAGAAAAGCTCCCGAAGCTCTTCTCTACGTAGAAGAGCTCCCGAAGCTCTCCTATACGTAGAAGAGCTCCCGAAGCTCTTCTATACGTAGAAGAGCTCCCGAAGCTCTTCTATACGTAGAAGTGCTCCCGGAGCTCTTCTATATGTAGAAGAGCTCCCGAAGCTCTTCTATATGTAGAAGAGCTCCCGAAGCTCTTCTATATGTAGAAGAGCTCCCGAAGCTCTTCTATATGTAGAAGAGCTCCAGAAGCTCTTCTATACGTAGAAGAGCCGGTCGAGCTCTTCTATACGTAGAAGAGCTCCTCTAGCTCTTCTATACGTAGAAGAGCTTGTGAAACTCTTCTATACGTCGAAGAGCTCCCGAAGCTCTTCTATACGTAGAAGAGCTCCCGAAGCTCTTCTGTACGTAGAAGAGCTTGTGAAGCTCTTCTGTACGTAGAAGAGCTCCCGAAGCTCTTCTGTACGTAGAAGAGCCCCCGAAGCTCTTCTGTACGTAGAAGAGCTCCCGAAGCTCTTCTATACATAGAAGAGCTCCTCTAGCTCTTTTATACGTAGAAGAGCTCCTCTAGCTCTTCTATTTCCAATCATCCCCCCTTCCCTGTAAAGCATCCAAACTACCGCATACTTCTGCCTGAACGCTGATTGTCGCTTGTTTTGATCTTCTATCCGTTAAAAATAGTTGAGAGACATTTATTTTTAAAGACAAATAGGAAATTAGTAACACACTAACGGTTCTTGCCAATAGCTTAACACACTTGCTTGCCGTTCTGGCCAAATTGTTATTTTTAATTCATACCGAATGTTTTTGTTCGAAAAAAAAAACGAGAGAAGAAAATAGAAGAATAAAAATCGAAAAAAAAATATAAAAAAATTCATTCCCAAAGGTAAGTTACTGCAGTGCGAATTCTGTTCCGATTCGAGAGATTGGCCGAAGGTAAGATAAGAATTTCAGATTTAATTAAAGTGAAAATAAAGAATTTTTGTTTTCAAATTGTTTGTTATTATTTTGATGTAATGTGTTCGAGTGTGTGTGTGTGTGTGTGAGTTTATTTTTCCCGAAGCCGAAGGTCAAGTTCATTTTTCGCACATGATCGGTCGATTGATCGATCGATTTTGCTCGATGTGCGACGATGATTCGGTTTAGCACGATTTTTGTGAATGTGAAAAAGGTGGTAGCGATCGTTTTTGCCCAATCTTTGGTTGAGTGTGCGTCCGATCGCCTTTGCGTTTTGTAAGCGAAACATTTGCATTTTCGCAAGTTTCGCCGTTGTGCGCTCTGTGCTGTGCTGTGTGGTGGCATGTGAGGCATTTGTGTGAATAACTGAATCGCATCTCGCAGTGATCCTCGCAGTTACTTGTTCTGGTGAATCGACTAATAGTTAGATAGATAGCCAGCCACTTGACAAATCCGATTGCCGAATATCGTCCATGACAATAAGGTGTAAATATAGATCCGATCTGAGGGTTTTTGTTTTTTTGCTGCTGTTGTTGTTCTTGGCAAGCAACGCAAGTGGATCACTCAGTGATTGATCAATCGATTCGCCTGATCATTTGAAAATCAATTTTCGAAACGTACGGTCGTTTCAGTTCGTTCGGAACTGTCGAGTCATTAGCTACGCCTCGAACGGACCGAGCACCGCCGATTACGTCCTGTTTTTCTTTATTTGAAAAAATTCACAAAAAAAAAAATATTGAAATTCCCCAAAAGAAAATAAATTTTGAAAATTCATAAAAAGAAAAATATTCTCCATTTACGAAACGTGTGTGTCTGTTGAAAGTAGAGCAGAAAAAACCAACTAGGGGAAGCAAGGTTACGCCGGAACAGAAATCTTACGAAAACGGAAGCGAACAATATTTTTTCGAAATAATTTTTGATAACCCAAAAATTTAAAAAAAAAGAAGTAAAAATTGAATTTTATTTTGTTCACAACACAACTGTGACCGGATAATCCTTTACTTTTTAAAGAGTCTCGACAAGCGAATACCACCTCTGCAAGGATGGGTGAAACCGAAGGCGAAACCGCGGCAGCCGATGCCCGTGGCTCGGAGGAGCCAGAGGCAGCACCAGCCCAGGATACTTTGCAGGTGCCGGCCCAAAAGAAACGCAAACTGAAGTCTCCCACTCCGGGCAGTCTGCGTGGACGCAGTGCCACTCCCATTCGAGGACGCAGTCAGACACCCTTTAACCTGTACATGACCCGACGCAGTGCCACTCCCTCGACATGGCGCAGCATTACTCCCTTCCTGAAACGTGAGGAAAAGGAGAAGACACCCTTCGAATTGGGTCGTGATCTAAAGACCCTGTTGACCTGCAACACCGCCGTCTTTGATCGTGCCCTGGTCATGGACATCTCTGAACCCTTGGAGGCCCAAAAACCTGTGCGTTACATAACCTCTGATATGTCGGTCATTGATCGTGCCGCTGTTATGGATGTCTCCAATGTTGAGGTTATCTATGTCGTTGAGGAATACGAAGAATACGAGGAAGAAGAAGAGGTCATTGTGGAGGAGGTGAAACCCAAGAAGAAGGCCAAGGGGGCGAAAAAGGAACGCAAACCCAGACGCTCTGCCGACAGAGAGGGATCCATTGATCTTGGCACTTCTGAGGGTGAAGGAGGTGGCGAAGAGGGGGGTGCCCGTGAGGATCGTGAAGAAAGTGCCGATTTGGATGAGGGTGATGAGCCGGAAAAGGGTAAGAAGACCAAAAAGAAGGCTGCTCCCAAGAAAAAGGAGAAGAAGGAGAAATCACCCAGCCCCAAGTTGACTCTGAAACTGGAATCGGGTGGTGGCCAAAAGGCCAACAAGAAAATGTTTGAAGAAAAGCAACAGCAACCGGCCGGACCTGGTCCCAAGCCCCCACCAAAGAAGAGTAAGCTGGCCCTGCAAATGGAGGAACAGGCCAAGGCTGCTGCCAAGGCCGCCGAAGAGGAGGCTGCCAAGGCTGCAGCCAAACCCAAAGGTGAGACCTTTGAAGAACGCCAAAAACGACTCAAAGCCGAGGAGGAGGAAAGGGAACGCGAAGAGGCCGAACGCAGGGCCCAGGAAGAGGCCGAGGCTGCCGAAGCCGAGGAGGATGAAGAAGGCGGCGAGGAAGGCGAATCCGGCGAGGGAGAAGAGGCTAGCTCACGTTACGAAGAATCCCGTTACGACGAAGACGACGAAGAGCAAGAACAAAACGAAGACGAAGAAATGGACGAGGTCAGTGAATTGCCCACCGAAACACGACGTAGCAGCAGTTCTTCGGAAGGCTTTACACGTCCCGATCCCGACGACGAGGAGCGTTGGAAACAAATCGCCGAAGAGGAGGGTGAAGAATTCGCCACACAATTACGCAAATACAGTTTAGCTGTACGTCGCAGCGAGAAACAACGCGACGAAGAATGGAAGCGTATGCGCGAACAGAAACGCCTGCCCCATTTCATTGTTTTCCTTTCGGATCGTACCGTCGAGGCTGGACACAATGTCCGTTTGGCCTGTGCCGTGGGTGGGCCAGAACTTTCGGTGAAATGGTTCAAAGATGGCCGTCAATTGGAACGTGACTCGACGCATCGCATCATCAACAACAACAACATTTTAGCTTTAGAAGTAGTGAATACAACGATCTTGGACTCGGGAGAGTACTCCTGTGTCATTGCGAATATGAACGATGAGGTCACATCCTCGTGTTATGTGACCATTTACGAAGTGTTTAAGGATCAACCGGCTCCACCATCCTTCAAATTGGTGAGAGGTATGTTCAAAAGGGGGCCTGAAAGTGGGGGTGGTTGAGGAAAAAAATTCGATTTACAATGATTTAATATTGAAGAGCTTGGTTTCAATTTGCATTTAAAAAGAAATTGATATGTTTCAATGTTGACGCAACATATGAAATGTTGAATCAACATTTTTTAAGCAACATCAACAGTTTTCATGTTGCAACGTAATTTTCAATTTTGTAGTTGCATTTTACATTAAAAACGAGAATTTTTTTTTAAAGTCGTATCAACATTTTGCCATATTACCTCAATACTTCACATATTGCATCAGCATATTTTCTATGTTGCATCAACATTTTACGCGACAACTTCAAAATGTTTTCAATTTCTGTACAACACTTCCTCATCAATATTTTTTTAATTAAAAAAATTTTCTAAAATCAAATAATGATTATTTGATTGAGTCTCGTAGTAATTTTGGTTGATGTTGCAGCAACATTTGTTTATAAGAAATCACTCATGATATTTTCAAAACATATTATATTTAAAATTATTATATTTTTTTAGAATCATTTGTAATGTTGCATCAACATGTTTAGATTAAAAAAAAAAAAAAATCAATTTTATCGATTCTATCGCTTTTTTCCATGTTGCATCAATATATGAATGTTGTAAGAACATTTTTCCAATGTTGCAGCAACAATGTTTTAATTTTACAAAGCCATTTATGAAAGTTTTCAGCAGTTTCAGAATGAAAAATTAAAAAATTAAGAAAAAAATGTTAAACAAAAAAATTTTTTTTTTGAATAAACTCAAAATTGTATCAACATGTTGCGGGCCTGATTTACAATGTTGCACAACAATTTCTATTGCAGAATCACCATTTTTTACATAAATTAATAAAAAAGAGAATTTTTTTTACCATTTTTGATGGATATTACTTCATGTTGCAACAACAAATCATGTTGCAACATTCATGCAACAATTTTTAATGTTGTTCTGAACAATTTCCTAATAATTATTAGGACAATTTCCAAATATTTCTGGCATTTCTAATTTATTATAATGTTTCATCAACATTGCGAAATGTTGTTGTGGTATGTTGTCCAACATTTTTTCATGTAAAATCAATAAATAATAATGTTTGCCCATGTTGCTGAACAATTTTTTTAATGTTGCAATAATATTTGTTGTTATATATGAACAGTAAAACATTAACATCGAAATGTGAATAAGTCAATAAGGACCAACAAAAATTATTGTTGTCTTGAACAATTACTGAGTGTAACAAATCAAATTTTTTTCTAATAATCAAAAAGTTGCCGTATCATATTTCGATGTTGCTGACGCATTTTTGTGTGTTGCAATATATTTTTTTCCGTACAAATACCATTACTTGAGGCTAAAAAATATTTAAGATGTTGCGCAACATTTATTGAAGCAACATTACATGTTTTATTAAAGAATGTGTTATATGTTGCACAACATTTTAACATTTCCGGAAAAAAAATTAAAATATAATTTGAAAAAATTTAAAAAAGTTGCCGTATCATATTTTCATGTTGCTGACCAACAAATGGTTTTCTAATAATCAAAATAAAAAAGTTGCCGTATATATGATACGGTTGCGGTATACGGTATTCGATGTTGCTGACGCATTTTTGTACATTGCAACATATTTTTTTCCGTACAAATAATAAAATTTGATGCTAACAAAGTTTATTTTGTTGCGCAATATTTATTGAAGCAACATTACATGTTTTATTAAAGAATATGTTAAATGTTGCACAATATTTCAAGATTTCCGAAAACATTTTAAAAAAAGTTGCCGTATTATAATTCGATGTTGCTGACGCATTTTTGTACCTTGCAACATATTTTTTTCCGTACAAATAATAAAATTTGATGCTAAAAAATGTTTACTCTGATGCGCAACATTTATAGAAGCAACATTACATGTTTTACTAAAGAATGTGTTAAATGTTTTAACATTTCCGAAAAAAAAAAACAATTAAAAAAATGAAAAATATTAAAAAAAAGTTGCCGTGTCATATTTTGATGTTGCTGACGCATTTTTGTATGTTGCAACATATTTTTTTCCGTACAAATAATAAAATTTGATGCTAATAAATGTTTACTTTGTTGCGCAACATTTATTGCATTTTTTTATGTTTTGTTAAGGAACATGTTAAATGTTGCACAACATTTTAAGATTTCAAAAAAAAAAAAGAAAAATTCAAAGTTTTTGGAAAAAATTTTGAAAAAATTTGCCGTGTTATATTTCGATGTTGCTGATGCATTTTTGTATTTTGCAACAAACTTTTTTCCGTACAAATACCATTACTTGAGGCTAAAAAAATGTTTATCATGTTGCGCAACTTTTATTGAAGCAACATTACATCTTTTATTGAAAAATGTGTTAAATGTTGCACAACATTTTATCATTTCCGAAAAAAAAATAAAAAAAATTTTGAGAGAAAATTACCATTTTGAAATGTTGCATCATTATAATGTTGTATAGACCTTTTTTACATGTTGCAGCAACATATATAAAATTTGTATCCAATGTATAAATGTTGTATCTTAATTTCGCCTTGTACTTTTTATATAGAGTACACTTCTTTGATAATGATTCAATTGTTATTGTATGTTGCCCAACATTTTAGAATGTTGCTTGAAAACAATATCAATGTTGCAAAATTGTTTCTGAATGTTTCAAAGAACATTTCTCAAAGTTTCAATACTATTTCTCAGAACTGGAACAATTTAAATTTAAACAGCATATATGAGTTTAATTTTTCAAAGTAAATTCAAAATATTGGAAAAAGTATCCACGATTTTCAACGTTGTATCAAAGTGTCTAAATGTTGCAAATCTATCCTTGTCTCAATTTCACATTTTTCATAGGCATATCAATACCTTGCAACCAATCAAAATTTAAAATACCGAAAAAGCTGAAATTTTTTCCATGTTCCAAAAACATTTCTCCATGTTGTAGCCACACAATGTTGAAAAACATTTCTCCATATTGCAAAACATTTTGAAATGATGCGCAACATCTCGCAATGTTGCGAAACATTTTTGGAAAAAATAAAAATAAACATTAAAACATTCATTTATGTTTCACTCATATATTCCCTCGTTGTATCCAATTTTTCATCAATATGCGACTATCTGTTCTCCATGTTGCCTCAACATTTCGAAATGTTGCTACAAATTCTTTCAAACCAAAAATACTTTAAGTAAACGGATTTCTTTCCCCGCGTTGCTGTAGAATTTTTCCTCTAGAAATGCGTTAAAATGTTATCCTCTCCCCCACAGAATATTATCACTTGCGTGACGATGAGTTGACTATTGAGGTGCACATCCATGGTGTACCACGTCCCGTGGTCACCTGGTGGCGTGGCATGTTTGAAATCAAACCCAATGTTAAGTTTACAAAACTTGAGGAGGCCCATGGTGTCTATAAGCTGTTGATCTACAAGCCGAACAATCGCGACAGCGGTGCCTATCTCTGCAAGGCCATCAACTCGAGTGGTGAAGCCCAGATTACCCATTCCATTGAGGTGGGTAAGAATTTGCATTACCACATTCCCGGCATTTTCCATGCCCGTGGTCGCTTGAGCAAGGTGAAGGAAGAGGAGGCACGCAAGGCCATGGAAGAGGCCATGAAATCGAAGGGTGACTCGGATCGTCGCAGGGCTGAGGCTGCCGCCGAGGCCAGATCCAGGGCGCCACGTGCCTCACCCGAACCCATTGTGGCGGCCAAACAAAAACTACAATTCGCCACCCAGCTGAGAGATCGCATGGCCCTCGAGGGTACCAATGTACGTTTCGTCTGCACCGTCATTGGTCCTTCGCCCAACTGCCGCTGGATGAAGGATGACGAGTGGGTGAAGTACAGTGAAAATGTCAAGAACCTAAGCGAGGAAGGCAAGGCCATTATTGAGCTGTTGAATGTGACCAGCGAATCTTCGGGTGTCTACAAATGCATTGCCCGCAACGATTTCAGTGAAATCGAAACCTCCTGTTACTTCAAGGTGTACTCGGCCAAGACGGATGGCGATGAGCATGAACCCATTTTTGCATTGCCACTTAGAGGTATGTCAACGTGTCGTTGTGTGTGTGTGTATGGGTGTAGGTGTCTTTTTATCTGTGGCATTCTCATCAATCAGATGTCTGATCGATCAATTTGTGGTTTCATTGGATCAAATGATCTTCGTTGTTGTGATGGCTGATGTTGTTGTCGTTGGTTCTGTTCATCTTTCGATGTTTTGTTTGGCTTTGTTTGATGGCCAAAAATAGTCCGTCGTCGTCTGTGGCCCGGGGAAATTGAGTTTAATTTTATCCCTCTCTCATTCTGTATCTCTCTCTATCAGATGTCTATCACTCTTCGCAAAACGATCTGATTCTCGACACCAAAATACGTGGCAACCCCCGTCCGGTCATTACATGGACCAAAGACCAATTACCCGTTGTACTTGACGATCGCGTCGTGCAGATCGAACATTTGGACGGCATTTGCGAGCTAATCATTAACAAGCCCACACCGGCCGACAGTGGTAAATACACCTGCGTTGCAACCAACAAATTGGGCTCGCAGCAAACCTCACACAGTGTCGTTGTCGATATCCAGCACAGTTCCAGACGTTCGAGTGTCTTGTCCGGCGCCATGAGTGAAGCCGACAGCCAGGGTGGCAAGAAAGAGCGGCCTCAACGTTTGCCGAAATCGAGCAAAGATGAGGAGGGCGGCAACTACGAGAGACGCAGCCGCATGCCCGAACCACCACCAAGATCGATGTTGTATTTCGATGCCAACATCTCGAATCGTTATGTGGCGGTGGGCTCCAAGGTAAAGCTCCAGGCTGTGGTGAATGGACCGAATCCAACCTGCAAATGGACCAAGGATGATCAAAATGTCCAGTATGGACCACGTATTCGTAACATGAATCGTGATAGCTTGGCCTCGTTGGAATTCTTGAATTGTCAGCCGGAAGATTCGGGCACCTATACATTGACGGCACAAAATGAATACTGCAAAATTACACAATCGGCGAAATTATATGTCTATTCGCCTACGACGGGAACGGAAACGGAACCGGTATTTGTACGTCCCGTTAAAGGTATGTATAAGTGGAGTGAGGAGGTCGCTCTCTTTGTGAGTGTGTGTGTTTTTTATTTGTTTCAAAAAGAAAAGATTGTGCAACCCCCCAAAAGACAAAGAAACTTATGTAATCTGAGTAGACGAAAATGCAATGGGAAATAATTTTGGCTACGTTTCGATAAACTAAACTAAATAGTGAGGTGAAAAAAAAACAACAACAAGAGATGCAATTTTTTTTTGTTATACGCCAAACAAATATTCAAAGACGCAAAATAGGGGTCTTTGGGGATCCAATGCTTTAGCTAAATTGCCTGCGAGGGACATAGCCAGAAGTGTAAAGAAGAAAGAAGGAAATATGAAATTTCCCATAGAAAATATATTGAAATTACCCAAACATTGGCCTAAAAGTGAGAGGAGAAAGACAGGTTATTCACCAATGTTTCATCGGTGAGATAAATACCTCATTGGGGTTCCCAGCTATTGTAGAAACATACTACTACTTGTAGATACTTCGCCAATATTGTTAAGACGATGTAGATACATAATTATTAATCTTTAGATAAAGTAGAAACTTCTTAATGACGTTTAGATAATATAGATTAACAGTTAAAAATGCTAAGAATAAAATGTAGATAATTCGTAAGTGATGTTTAGATAACGTAGATACATGACTAATAATGTTAAAATAACTTAGGTACTCCGTTGATGATGTTAAGATAATGTAGATACATTACTAAACACATTTAGATAACGTAGATACTTTGTTAATGATTTTTAGATAATGCAGATGCATATTTAATAAATTTCAGATAACCTAGATACTCTTTAATGAGGTTAAGATAATGTATATACTTTTTGATAATGTTCAGATAACGTAGATGCTTCGTTAATGATGTTTAGATAATGTAGATACATTAGTGGTAACGTTCAGATAACGTAGATACTTCGTTAATGAAGTTTGGTTAATGCAGATATATATTTAATAACTTTTAGATAACGTAGATACTTTTTGATAATTCTTAGATAACGTAGATACTTTGTAAATGATGATTAGATTATGCAGATACATAATTAATAATGTCCAGATAACGTAGATACTCCCTTATTAGGTTTAGATATTGTAGAGACATTGCTGGTAACGTTTAGAGAACGTAGATACTTCGTTAATGATGTTTAGATAACGTAAATACACGTTAATGCGGCTTAGATAATGTAGATACATTAGTGGCGATGTTTATATAACGTAGATACTTTATTAATGAAGTTTCAATAATTCAGATTCATATTTAGTAACTTATAGATATCGTAGATACTTCTTTAATGAAGTTAAAATAATGTAGATACTTTTTGGTAATGCTTAGATAACGTAGATACTTCGTTAATGTTGATTTGATAATGCAGAGACATATTTAATAATTTACTGATAACGTAGATACTCCGATAATGAGGTTTAGATAACCTGGATACTTCGTTAATGATGTTTATATAACGTAGATACTCCGTTAATGAGGCTTAGATAATGTGGATACATTACTGGTAATGTTTAGATAACGTAGATACTCCGCTAATGAGGCTTAGATAATGTGGATACATTACTGGTAATGTTTAGATAACGTAGATACTTCGTTAATGAAGTTTCGATAATGCAGATACATATTTAATAACTTTCAGACAACGTAGATACTCCTTTAATGAATTTAAGATAACGTAGATACTTTTTGGTAATGCTTAGATAACGTAGATACTTCGTTAATGATGATTAGGTGATGCAGATACATATTTAATAATGTTCAGATAACGTAGACGCTTCGTTAATAATGATTATATAACGTAGATACTCCTTTTATCATTTTTAAATAACGTAGATACTCCGTAAATTAGGTTTAGATAATGTGGATACATTGCTGGTAACGTTTGGATAACGTAGATACTTCGTTAATGAAGTTTTGATAATGCAGATACATATTTAATAACTTTTAGATAACGTAGATATTTCTTTAATGAGGTTAAAATAACGTAGATACTTTTTGATAATGCTTAGATAGCGTAGATACTTCGTTAATGATGATTAGATTATGATATTAGATGATGCAGATACAATGTTAAGATAACGTAGATGTGTCGTTAATGATGCTTATATAGCGTAGATACTCCGTAAATGAGCTTAAGATAATGTATATACATTACTGGTAACGTTTTGATAACCTAGATACTCCGTTAATGATGTTAAGATAACGTAGATACCCCGTTAATTATGTTTAGATAATGTAGATACATTAGTGGTAACGTTTAGATAACGTAGATACTTCGTTAATGAAGTTTGGTTAATGCAGATACATATTTAATAACTTTTAGATAACGTAGATAATTTTTGATAATGCTTAGATTTTTTGATAATGTTTAAATAACGTAGATACTTCGCTAATGATGTTTAGATAATGCAGATACATATTTATTAACTTTTAGATAATGTAGATACTTTTTGATAATTCTTAGATAACGTAGATACTTCGTTAATGATGATTAGATTATGCAGACACATAATTAATAATGTCCAGATAACGTAGATACTCCGTTATTAGGTTTAGATAATGTAGATACATTGCTGGTAGCGTTTAGATAACGTAGATACTTCTTTAATAAGGTTAAGATAACGTAGAAACTTTTGATAATGCTTGGAGAACGTAGATGCTTCGTTAATTATGCTTATATAACGTAGATACTCTTTTAATCAATTTTAGATAACGTAGATACTCTGTAAATGAGGTTTAGATAATGTAGATACATTATTAGTAATGTTTAGATAATGTAGATACATTATTAGTAACGTTTAGATAACGTAGATACTTCGTTAATTATGCTTAGATACATATTTAATAACTTTCAGATAACGTAGATACTTTTTGACAATGCTTAGATAACGATACTTCGTTAATGATGATTGGATAATGCAGATACATATTTAATAATGTTAAAATAACGAAGATACTTTGTTAATTATGTTTAGATAACTAAGATACTCCGTTGATGAGATTTAGATAATGTAGATACAGTATTAAAAACATTTAGATAATATAGATACTTCGTTAGTGTTGTCTAGATACTTTTTGATAATGCTTAGACAATGTAGATACTTTATCAATAATGTTAAGATAACGTAGATACTTCATTTAGGTATATCAGATAACGCAGATTCCTTTCACATTAAGGATGCCTAGATGACAATGATATTTAGATTACTTAGATACTTTTATGGATATAGACCCATGGGGACCCTACCTTGAGAATGAACCAGGAATATAGTAGATACATTAGTTTTGAGTTCCTAGTCTTTGTTGTATTGTGGCGCATTGTTTTTATTGTATCTCTGTATACAAATGAGTTTAATTTCAACTCTCTTTTCCCCACTCTCTCTCTATGTCTCACTCTCTTTCGCGCCGCATAGAAACCTATCACTTGAATACAAATGAATTGATTTTGGAAACTGGTGTTCGCGGTGAACCCACACCCAAAATTCAATGGCTCAAGGATAACATCGACATTGAGGAGGGTGGTCGCATCCATAAGTTCCATCATGCCGATGGCACCTTGGAATTGGTTATTGATAGTCCCAATGTCAAGGACAAGGGTAAATATATAATTCGTGCCGAGAATAATGCTGGCAAGGCTGAGATTACCCATTTGGTGGCGTTCGAGGGTAAGGAACATCACATTGCCGATAACATTCATGGTGTGTTCCATGCCGACAAGAGTCTGCTGAAGCCAAAGCAAGTGGAGGAGGAGAAACCCAAAGCAGCTCCAGGACCGGCTGCCGAAAGTGACAGTGAAACCGATAGCAAGGGCAAGAAGCGAGTACGCAAACCACGCAAGGAAGATGAATCGGAGGCAGAGGCTGCCTCAGCTTCAATTTATGTTTCGGATGCCGCCTCGGAAACGGGTTCGTTGAAGAAACGTGAAAAGGTCATTGGCATCTATTTCCCCACCAACATGAAGGATCGTGTGGTAGCCGAGGGTTCAAAGGTGAAGATTTCTTGCTTCCTCGAATCGAAGGAACCCCAGGTCAAGTGGTTCAAGAATGGTGAACCTTTGCAGAACTCACCCAAGTGCCGTGGCCGTTACAATGAGGGTTTGTGTATTTTGGAAATCCCATCGGCCAGCTTGGACGATGCTGGTGAATACAAATGTTGGGCCCGTGATGAGACCGGTGAGGCTTCAACCTTCTGTCGCCTGGAGGTGTACTCTGACCCCGGCTCGGGTGATACACCACCCACATTTACCCGCAACATTAAGGATACCTATCACGGCAAGCTACACGAACTGCAGCTGGATGTCCATGTACGTGGCTTGCCCACACCCACCATTACCTGGGTTAAGGATGGTGTGGTCATAGAACCCAACGATAAGTATCAGACCACAGAACATGAGGATGGTACATGTGAACTGTTCATCATGGACCCCACCCCGGCCGATAGTGGTAAATATGTTTGCCAAGCTGAGAATCGCGAGGGCACAGCTGAAATTACACACATGGTCACCGTGAAGCCCAAGGTGCGCAGACCCGTATCGCCCGGTCGTGATAGGCCTCCCGTCAAGCCACAGGGTGATGAAACCGAGGAGGAAAAAGCCGAGCGTAAGAAGAAACGCGACGAGGATGAGGAGAGCAGTGGTGGTGGTCGCAGACATGGTGCCGCACCACCACCAGATCTCAAGAAATTCTTGTACTTTAGAAACTTCCTTTCAAATCGTACCGTCAAGGCCGGCACCAATGTCAAATGGATGGTGGCCATTGATGGTCCCGACCCAACGGCCCGTTGGTTCCATGGTGATCAGCCTATTGTCTTTGGACCCAAGAGTAAATTGTCAATGCAAGATGGCATAGCCTGGTTGAACTTGATCGATGTCACCGAGGAACAGAGCGGTACCTACACCTTGAAGGTAAAGGGTTCGGAGAACGAGATTGTCTCGTCGTGCAATTTGTTTGTCTATTCGACGGGCAAGGAAGAGGTAATTGCACCCGTTTTTACCAAGGGCATTAAAGGTAGGTGGCTTAGGTAGTAAATTGGTCCATAAAGTCTTGAGTGTGGTGTTGCTTGGTGTCATGTGTTCGGTCTCAAGGTATGTACTCAATTACTCTCTCATTCTCTTTTTCGCTCTCTCGTTAGCTTTTGATTTAGTACAGGCTTATTTATTCAAATGCTCTCACTTTGTCTCATTTTCCATTTTTGGCACTCATTATGTGTTTCTCTCTCTCTTTTTGTGTGTGTTTTGTGTTGTTCTCACCCTCTCTCTCACAGATGCATATCATAGTCATGAAAATCGCCTCACATTGGAATGCAAGGTTTCGGGTAATCCCAAGCCCACGGTATATTGGCAAAAGGATAATACCCGTTTAGATTCGGAAAGTAAAAAATATCAGTATGTAGATTTGGCGGATGGCATAACCCAATTGGTGATTGAGAGTCCAGAGCCGGGAGATACGGGTCTCTACACGTGTTATGCTGAGAGTGAAAGTGGCCAAATGAAAATCAGCAAATTTGTGGATGTCAGTGACTATAAGCCTAAACTCCCGGAGCTGAGAGTGGCCCAAAAAGACACTGGCGATGTTGTGACAATGATGGAAAAATCCGACAAAACCATGGAAGAGGAAAGAGAGGAACGCCAAGAGAGAAAGTTACGTTCCATGGATGCCAAATTCAAATTAACCGTGGAGACACCCATGAAACCCATGGTCATGGCCTCGGGCACCAAGGCCCAGTTGATTTGTTATGTCAGCGGTTTCATAGAAGATGTCTATTGGTTAAGAGGCAATGAACGAGTTACCAAAGATTCCCGCCACAAAATATACAACATTAATGGGGCCTTGAGTTTGGAAATTTATGATGCCCGACCCGATGATACGGCCCAGTATAAATGTGTGGTTAAGAACAGTCGCAATTCGGTGGAATGTGTTTGTGATTTGACCATCTACGATAGTGCGGCGGAGAAGTTGCCCTCAAGTTTCTCTAGCCCCGTTACAGGTAAGGTTAAACGATGAAAAAGGGGAGAGAGATAGGGAAATCACTCTTTCCCCTAGGAGAACATAACCTCAAATTTATGAATTTTTTGTCATTAGCCACCTTTGATGCGGATCGCTGTGAAATCATTTTGTCCTGTATGCTACATGGCCGCCCAACTGTTACCTGGATTCGAGATGATCACACAATTTCCAATAATCGTTATAGGGTCCTTGAAGAACTGGGAGGCATTAGTAAGCTAATCATACGCAATCCCATACCCTCGGACTGTGGCACGTTTTCCTGTTTCGCGGAGACCAATGAACGCATAGAGGCCATAACGAAAATCATTCGAATCAATGATCTTAAGAAATTAATGGCGGCGGCAGCGGAACAGGAGATGAATGGTTTTGGTGCTCCTAAACCACCAATTCCATCGTTACGAGATGAGGAGTTGGAAGAGCAGGGTACTTTCTCGGCACGCAAATCTTTGGGTCGTAGCATACCGACGGGACGTAAACCTCTCTTCAGTTCCCTGCTTCACGATCGTACCATGACCGAGGGTGGTAATCTACGTCTCAGCTGCAGTGTGGTCTATGATGGCCAGACCACGGTGGAATGGACCAAAAATGGCCGTGCCCTACCAAATGATAGTCGCTACTACACCACATTCCATAATGGTGAGGCAATATTGGAAATTGTTGCCGTCGAGGAACATGATAGTGGTCAATATATGTGTCGCGCCCTCAACGACTATGGTGATTCGGTTTCGCAGAGCAATATCCGGATCTATAAACACTATGAGAACACACCCCAGCCGGCAACGTTTGTACAATCGATAAGAGGTAGATATGTGGCCCAGTTATAGGTTTAGGTTATAGGAATATCTTTGAAATTCAATCATACATTGCAAGGACTCAATCAAAATCCGCACATGTTCAGTACACACTTACACACATACACATGTTTTGTGTTGTTGTAGTTGTATGTATGTATGAAGCAATGTAGTGTTGGTACTTTTTTTATTCTCTCGTCCACTGTGCAATTTATAATTATTTTTATTTTGTCGTATATTTTTATAATCGGCAGATTTTTGGTGTGGCTAAGGTGTGTGGACACTCAACAGGCATTTTAGAGGGTTCCAATTGATAGAGGACCTTTTTTATTGCCAGAATTTCTTTGCAGGGTCTTCCATGGATGGGAAACTTTCAAGAACTCCCTTTTGAGACCTTCTTTGATAGAAGAGCTTCAACAAGGTTCCTATTTGTAGGAGACCTTGAACAGGTTGATAGAAGACCTTTAAAAGGCCTCCAATTGACAAAAGTTCTTCCATCTATTAATATCTTCGACAGGGTTCCTATAGACAGAAGACTTTTAACAGGCTTCCTATTGATAGAAGACCTTTAATAGGGTTTCTATTTATAGAGGGCCTTGAACAGGGTTCCTATTGATAGAGGACCTTCAACAGGTTTCTTATTGACAGAAGACCATCAACAGGGTTTTAATTGATAGAGGATCTCGAACAGGCCTCCTACTAATAGAAGATCTTCAACAGGGTTCGTATTGATAGAAGATCTTTAACAGGGTTCCAATTGATAAAATACCTTCAATAGGGTTTTTATTGATAGAGGATCTTCAACAGGCCTCCTACTGATAGAAGATCTTCCACTGGGCTCCTATTGATAGAAGAGCTTCAAAAGGTCTCCTATTGATAAAGCCCTTTAACAGGTCTCCTATTGATAAAAGGCCTTCAACAGGTCTCCTATTAATAGAGGCCTTCGTTAGCGTTCCCATTGATAGAGGACCTTCAAAAGGTTTCCTATTGATTGAAGATCTTCTACAGGGCTCCTATTGGTAGAGAGCCGTCAACAGGTCTACTATTTATGGAAGACCTTCAAAAGGTCATCTGTTAATGAAAGACCTTTAACAGGTTTCCTATTGATAAAAGGCCTTTAACAGGTCTCCTATTAAGAGAAGTCCGTTCTCAGGGCTCCCAGAAGATCTTCAACAGGTCTCCTATTAAGAGAAGTCCTTTAACAGGGTTCCTATTGATAGAAGATCTCCAACAGGTCTCCTATAGATAGAAGTCTTTCAAAAGAACTCATATTTATAGAAGACCTTCAAGAGGTCTCTTTTCGATAGAAGTCCTTCATCCGAGTTCCTATTGGTAGAAGGACTTTAACAGATTTCCCATTCATGGAAGGTCCTTAATAAGATTGGCAAGGTTCTACAATAGGTATCCTAGTCCTACAATGGACCTCCTGTTAATAGAAGATCTTCCAAAGGTCTTTTATTCGAAGATGACTTTTTTAGCAGAGCTTCTGTACAGCAAGGATCTTCAAACTGAAATCTCTTCAGCACCAGACGTTTCGGAGACTATAGATACAAAAACGCATGTCTTTACCGGTCTTTACTTCCGCCACACACTTAGCCCCACCAAAAATCTCGCCGGATTCCCTAAAATTGCTCAATTTCTAATAATTTTCTCTCTTTCACCCCCCTCCCCCTGCTGACATCTGCATCATCTGTGTCTTCTTTGCTCCACAGACACTTATTCTCTGGCAGAAAATGAGTTAGTTTTGGATTGCCGTGTACGTGGCAAACCACGTCCCGAAGTGCAATGGCTTAAGGGCACCGAAATTTTGATACCCGGCGAAAAGTATACCCAAATCGATTCCGATGATGGTTACTCCAAATTGATCATACACAATCCGACGGAGAAGGATGCCGGTCTCTATGGTTGCATTGGCCGCAATGAAGCTGCCGAAACAAAGATCACTCACCAGGTCGACTTTAGAGGACGTGAAAAGTTCGCCTTGGAACAGACATTAGGTTTCTATCATCGTGACCCGAACAAGCCACATTTGGTTGCTCCGTTGGGTAATCAAGTTGTTTGCGGTGGTGGCACCATTGCTATCAGTGCTGAGTTTATGCAAACAGCAACACCCATTGAGGTACAGTGGTTCCGTCAACGTCAACCGTTGGCCGGTCAACCGGGTGTTAAGACATTCTATGAACGTGGCGTCTATACATTGGCCATCATGAATGCCGGTCCCGAACATGAGGGTAGCTACACGTGCCGAGCTCAGAATGCTTTCGGACGCATTGAATCACATGCCACAGTGGATGTGGCCATCGGAGTGGAGAAGGCCGAGAGGCCACCGTTGTTCTTGTCGAGACCGGAAACCGAAATGAAAATTGCTGTCGGTGATCCCTTCTCGATTTCATTCAGAATTGCCGGAGATCCGAAACCAAAGTGTAAGTATTGAAAACGGAAAGGGAAACATTTTTAAAATGTGGGTAAAAAAAAGTGTTTGAATATCGTGGGTATTAAGTGCATAATTTATATAATGTTCGTATAATAGCGGATTAAATGGATAATTTATAAACTATTCGTATAATAGCGGATATCGTGGATTATAATTTAAATTATGTAAAATGTGGATAATTTATCAAAAACATTCGGATAAAACCGGTTATAACAGTCAGATAATTTATAACAGTCAGATAATTTATTAATTTAATCGGATAATAATTAATCAAAAATATACGGATAACGTAGGTAATCCATCTTGAATATTGGAAAAAACTAGATTAAAAAACGGATAATTTAACTAAAATATTTTGATAGCAGTTGATAATGTCAAGAATTTATCTGAATTATTTGGATAATACCGGATAACTTGGATGTTCCCCGATAACACCGGATAATGATGTAAAATATTCAGATAATACCGGATAAAATGGATTATTTATCAAAAATATTCGGATAACACTAGATAAGGTGAATAATTTATCTGAACTACTTGGATATCTATACATAATATGCAAAAAAAACCGAATAAAGAGGATAGCTGGTATAAAAAATTTTCTGATACTGATAATAATATTCTATCTGGATAATGTGGATAATTATCAAAAATGTATGGATAAATCCGGATTAAGTGGATACTTTATCTAATAAACCCATCTATAATATTCGAAAACTCTCGGATAAAGTGGATAATTTATCTAAATTATGATGATAACACCGGAGAACTTGTATAATTTTTAAAATTTATTCGGATAAGATAAATAATTTACCAAAAGTATTCGGATAATAACGAAAAAGGTGAAAAAAATATTTCAAATATTCGGATAACGCCAGATAAAATTTTTATAAACTATTCTTATAGCATTGAATAACGTGGATAATTATTGAAAAAAGTTATGGATAAAACCGGACAACGTGGATAATTGATTAAAAAAAATTATGTATAAACCCGGACAACGTGGATAATTTATCTATAATATTAGGATAACATTAGATAAGCTGGATATTTAATCTAAAATACTCGGATATCTATAATATGCAAAAAACCGGATAAAGTGGATAACTTATCTAAAATATTCTGATAACACTGGATAAAGTGGATAACTTATCTAAAATATTCTGATAACACTGGATAACGTGGATAGTTATAAAAACAATTATGGATAAAATCGGATAACGTGAATAATTTATTTATAATATTCAAAAACTCCCGGATAAAGTGGATAATTTATGAAATTTATTAGGATAAGATGAATAAGAAATCTAAAGTATTCGGATAATACTAATAATCTATATAATAATCGGATAAAGTTGATAATTTTATACCCTCCACCATAGTAATTCCGTCATTTCGTTTGTAACACCTCGAAATATACATTTTAGACCCCACAAAGTATATATATAATACAGCATAAAATTCTAAGTCGACTTAGAGATGTCCGTCCGTCTTTCCGCCTGTCGGTCTATCTGTCTGTCCACGTTTTTGTATAGCCCCCATATAACCTCCCGATATTCGCTATTTTGATGATTTTAGCGACATTATTCACCGGAAGTGTTTCAAATTTGATATTTGATATTCGTAATGGATGCTACAGCCTATAACAGGAGATTGTCTGTGCAGTTCCACTTCTTCGTATGGCCCCCATATAAAGGTACTACCCGATATTCGGTACATTTGTTGATTTTAACTACATTACCGAATCTTCTTTTCATGTTTCGCATTTGAATATTGTAATGGCTTATGGCAAATGACCTGCATAGGTCCATGTCGTCGTATTGACCCTAATATAACAGCTACATTCGGTATTTTTAAGATTTTAACAGAATTTTTAACGGATTTTATTGTTTTTGAGAATTGCCAAATTCGTTCCAAATGGTGGAGGTTATTCAAAGGCCGAACTTACAACATTTTTAATCGTTCTAAATTATTATTACATTTAAACTATTCGGATAAACCAAATCATAATTATTTTTTCCGAATTATTCGGATATCCTGGAGAATTTATTCATCGTGTTCGAATGTCTTGCATTTTTGGTAACGTCGGATAATTTATTCAAAACATTTTGATAACATGAATAAAATATCCAGAATGATTGGATAACTTAAATATTTTTTTCGAAATCTTAGGATAACGAAAAAAAATATCCAAAACGTTCGGATGACCTGAATAGATACAGTTGGATAACTTTGTTAATTTATCCAAAATGCTTGAATACCATGGATAATTTATACCAAATCTTCGGATAACCTGGAAAATGTATACCAACTCTTCGGATAATCTGGATAATTTATCTGAAATTTTACCGGAATGTGCTATATGTTGAGATATTTTGGGAAATTCATTCAAAGTTGTCGAATAACGCGCATATTTTATCCAAAATATTGATATAGCCTGTGTAATTTATCCAAAACATTCGGAGGACGTGGAAATCTTATCCACAATGTTTGGATAACCTGAAAATTGTATTCAAAATTTTAGGAAAATTTATTCAAAATATTCGCATGCGTAAGTAACTTATCCATCTTGTTCCGATAACGTGGATAATTTACTCAAAATTTTGGGTAAAGTGGATAACTCAACGGATAACGCGCAAAACGTATCCAATGTATTCGTGTTATCCGAAAATCCGAGAAAACTAAAAAATTAATTTTACGGATTACATGCAAATCCTTCCACTATGTGCGGATAACTTGGATAGTCTATCCGAAAATGATACACGAAATATGCGGATAATGTGGATAATTTATCCAAAATGTTGATATAACCTGTGTAGTTTATTTAAAACGTTCGGAGGACGTGGTAATCTTACTAATGTTCGTATAACCTGAAAATCATATCCAAAATTCTGGGAAAATTTATTCAAAATATTCGCATAACGTAGGTAATTTATCCAACATGTTCCGGTAACGTGTATAATTTACTCAAAAGTTCGGGTAACGTGGCAAACTCAACGGATAACGTGAAAAATGTATCCAATGTATTCGGATAACATAGAAAACCTACACGAAATGTACGGATAACGCGCGAAATACACCCAACATGTACGAATAACTTGGATAGTTTATCCGAAAATGATAGGTTAACGAAATGTTTGGATAATTTATCTAAAATATTTTGATATGATACAAACTTTTACGGATAATGTGGATAATAATTTCAATTATATTTTTTCTCCTTCCAGTGACCTTCATGAAGGGCACCAAAGACATCACCAAATCCGATCGTGTCAGCAAAGAAGTCTCCGATGATTATACCCGATTCACCGTACAAAAGTCACAGATTTCCGATTCGGGCACCTATTTCGTTGTGGCCCGCAACAACAATGGCACTGACAGAATATTTGTAACAGTTGATGTAAGTCCAAGTTATGGAAAAGTTGACATTTTGTGGTTGAAGTTTTTATGCCGTCTCCGTCCGTCTTCTTTGTCTCTGAGTGTCACTTGACGAAGTTTGCCAGATAATTAACCTTTTTTGGCTTTATTTCCTTTTCTATTTATTCTTTCTAGATTAAGACACCCAAAAAGAAAGATTAAGCCTTTGTTTTGTGCCGCTTTATCACTTATTTGCTTTAGTTGTGTTCCCACAAAATCAAAAGAAAAGAAAAAACTCTATCTATGCGTAGCTTATTTTTATCTGACCTTGAACTTGCCATCAATGCTTCTGATTTTATTTTCCTTTTTATTTTAATTTGCATTAAATTATATATTTTTCTTATATAACATAAATGAAATTTATTAATTATTAATTAATAATTATTTACTTACACATACATATAACAAACCTATATTTATTTATATATAAACGAGAAAATGAGAAAGAAAAAACAAATGAAAACAAAATAATATTTTTATTATTGTTAATAATCACGAATTCTATTTAACCATTCGCAATCCACATCGGCAACTGCATATGTGCGACCAAAAATTACAACAACAACTACAATACCTACCCTCATTGTAGGTCATGCCTAGAGCCCGTTCTGAAACGCCATCAGCACCACGCTGGGGCCTGCCATTGGAGAGTTATCCCGATGTTTCATATTTCAAAGGTGAGTTTGAAGATCGATTTAAAAAAATAATAGTTTTGTGTTCAATATGTGAATATGTCACATGTGTTGTATTGGAGAGTTTGTGTGTGTGTGTTTTATAAAAGCATATAAAAATGTTAGAGTCAAGGAATGTATGTCCTTTAATTTTGCTCCCTGTAGGTTCTACGAATATAGGCCCTCTCAAAGTCTTCACATTAATCTGAAATTATGTTTTCTATAGAAAAAAGTTTTTTCTAAAGAAAAAAGTCTCCACAGAGGCCTGAGGAGAATTTTTCCCAAAGAAAAAAGTCTGAGGAGATTTTTTTTCTATAGAAAAAAAGTCTCCAGAGCGTCCTGAGGAAAATTTTTTCTAAAAAAAGTCTCCACAATTGCCTGAGTAGATTTTTTCTAAAGAAGCTTAGTAGATTTTTTCCAAAGAAAATAGCTTCCATAGAGACTCGAGTAGATTTTTTCCAATGAAAATTCCTCCACAGAGACCTGAGTATATTTTTCCAAATAAAAAACCTCCACAGAGCCCTGAACATAATTTTTCTATAGAAAAGAGTCTCCACAGCGTCCTGTGGAGATTTTTTTCTAAAATAGTCTCCACAAAGCCCTGAGTAGAGTTTTTCTAAACAAAAAGTCTCCATAGAGACCTGAGGAGATTTTTTCTAAAGAAATAAGTCTCCACAGAGAACTGAGGAGGTTTTTCTAAAGAAAAAAGTCTCCACAGAGACCTGAGAATATTTTTTCTAAAGAAAAAGGGGTCCACAGGGACCTGAGGTAATTTTTTTCTATAGGAAAAAGTCTCCACAGCAACCTGAGGCGATTCTTTCTATAAAAAAGTCTGCACAGCAACCTGAAGAGATTTTTTTCTAAGGAAAAAGTCTTCACAGAGACTTGAGAAGATTTTTTCTAAAAAAAAAGTCTCCGCAGAGACCTTAGTAGATTTTTCCAAAGAAAAAAGTGTCCCCAGGTCTCTTTGTTTCAAAGAAAAGTCTCCACATCGACCTGAGGAGATTTTTTTTCTAAAAAAAATAGTCTCAACAGCGACCTGACGAGATTTATTTTCTATAGAAAAAAGTCTCCACAGCGACCTGACGAGATTTTTTTTCTATAGAAAAAAGTCTCCACAGCGAACTGACGAGATTTTTTTCTATAGAAAAAGTCTCCACAACGACCTGACGAGATTTTTTTCTATAGAAAAAAGTCTCCACAGCGACCTGACGTGATTTTTATCTATAGAAAAAAGTCTCCACAGCGACCTGACGTGATTTTTATCTATAGAAAATGTCTCCACAGCGACCTGACGAGATTTTTATCTATAGAAAAAAGTCTCCACAGCGACCTGACGAGATTTTTATCTATAGAAAAAGTCTCCACAGCGACCTGACGAGATTTTTATCTATAGAAAAAAGTCTCCACAGCGACCTGACGAGATTTTTATCTATAGAAAAAAGTCTCCACAGCGACCTGACGAGATTTTTATCTATAGAAAAAAGTCTCCACAGCGACCTGACGAGATTTTTATCTATAGAAAAAAGTCTCCACAGCGACCTGACGAGATTTTTATCTATAGAAAAAAGTCTCCACAGCGACCTGACGAGATTTTTTCTATAGAAAAAGTCTCCACAGCGACCTGACGAGATTTTTTCTATAAAAAAAAGTCTCCACAGCGACCTGACGACATTTGTTCTATAGAAAAAAGTCTCCACAGCGACCTGATGAGATTTTTTTTCTATAGAAAAAAGTCTCCACAGCGACCTGACGAGAATTTTTTCTATAGAAAAAAGTCTCCACAGCGACCTGATGAGATTTTTTTCTATAGAAAAAAGTCTCCACAGCGACCTGATGAGATTTTTTTCTATAGAAAAAAGTCTCCACAGCGACCTGACGAGATTTTTTTCTATAGAAAAAAGTCTCCACAGCGACCTGACGAGATTTTTTTCTATAGAAAAAAGTCTCCACAGCGACCTGACGAGATTTTTTTCTATAGAAAAAAGTCTCCACAGCGACCTGACGAGATTTTTTTCTATAGAAAAAAGTCTCCACAGCGACCTGACGAGATTTTTTTCTATAGAAAAAAGTCTCCACAGCGGCCTGACGAGATTTTTTTCTATAGAAAAAAGTCTTCACAGCGGCCTGAGATGATTTTTTGCCTATAGCAAAAGTCTCCACAGCAACCTGAGAATATTTTTTCCAAAGAAAAAAGTCTTCACAGCGACCTGAGGAGATTTTTTCCATAGACAAAAGTCTCCGCAGGGACCTAGGGAGATGTTTTCTATAGAAGAATTCTTTCTACTGGAAAAAAAACTCTCCAATTTTCCAAAATATATTTTCTGTCGAAAAAAATCCTTCTCGGGTTGCTGAGAATTTTTTTTCATAGAAAAGTCTACACTTTCTCGTTCTATTGTTCTGCCAACTTGTTTGCTGTGATTTGAGTTGTCCCGGTGCCGTCATGAATGTCAGTTGTTGTCACAACAGATATGAGATATTCATTCAATTTTTTTCTTCTCATTTTTCCTCTCTTTCAGATACAAACAAAATTCATTATTTTTTAATATTTTTCCCAATAATAAAAAGAAGAGAAAACACAACAAGATTAAGTCATCTGCAAATGACTCTAAAATAAAACGAGATAGCCTCAGAGCTTTGACAAGTTTAACCTTGGATTCTAAAGCTGTCTAGAGACAGCAACAGACAAACAATATTTGTATTTATTTTTGATTTCGAATTTTCCATGGTCAGCTATTTTTTGTTAGTTTTTAAATGAAAATTTGTTTTTCTTAGCTCACGATTGTATTATGAAGAACGTGATTTGAAAAATATTTTGTGTTTGAATATTTTTTTTTTTTTCATTTTTTGATTTTTTCCAAGCCAAAAAACGTATTTCCAAAATGGATTATATCACTCTAATCCAGGTTTACATTTACGTATTGCATAAAAGCAACAACAACAATAAAATACACATGCACATCTATAGAGATACAAAGTCACACAAACACACACTCACTCACTCACTTAAAAATAAAATTTAAAATAAAGAAAAATGTTTCTCCGGGGAAAAAACAAACAACAATGTAGTTTTATTTATTTCAATTTTTTTGTTAATGTTTTTTAATCATCAAAACTTGGATATTAATCATCGACTATCCTTGACTTTAGATCCACCGGCTGCCATTACCACTGAACCCCTGCTGGTCGATTCCGGTCCCACACACATTTCTTTGTCCTGGGGCAAGCCACCCTATTACAACAACTCTGCTCCTGTCATTGCCTACAAAGTTGAGGCCTGGATCGTGGGCCATGAGGGTGGTGCCATCTGGAAGGAGCTGGGTCTGACACCCATCAACTCCTTCGATGCCTTCAACCTCAAACCCAATGTGGAATATCATTTCCGTGTCACTCCCAAAAATCGTTATGGCTGGGGTCCTTCGGTTCAGACCACCAAACCTCTGCAGGTGGGTGGTGTTGAATGCCTACCCGAATTCACCATGATCCTGCCAGGCCAGGTTAAGGCATTGCTGCACAAGGAATTCGTTTTGGAATGTGTGGTACGTGGCAGTCCCCGTCCTGATATTGTCTGGTACAAGGATGGCCTGCGAATCGGCAATAACATGGACAATGAACGCCTAAAGACCCGGAAAATTGGTTCCACCTGTACGCTGACCATAAAACAGGTTCTTGAATCCGATGCTGGTCGCTACACCTGTGAAGCCACCAATTCCAAGGGTAGGGTGTCCACCTTTGCCCGCCTGCAAGTCGTCTCCGATGAAAGACTTTTCGAGGCCGATCATCGTCTCAAGGAAATTGTGCGCAGTGACAACATTTCCTCCAAAGGAGATTCTTTGCCCATCTTTACCATGCGCCTGCGCGATCGTCGTGTCCAAGTCACCTACCCAGTGCGCCTCACCTGCCAGGTGGTGGGTTATCCTCAACCTGAAATATCCTGGTACAAAGATGATCAACTCATCGAGTCCAGTCGCCAGAGCATAATTTCCCAGGACAATCAATTCTATACCCTGGAATTGGCCAGTACCACGTTGAATGACAGTGGCATTTACACCTGCACCGCCAAAAATGAATTGGGCTCGGTGTCGTGCCACTGCTCCCTGGTTGTAGACAAAGGCATACGTGCCTACATCACCCCCGAATTCTATATGCCCTTGGATCCCCTCTACATTGTCCAGGAGGGTCAGGAAATACGTCTCACCGCCAAGGTGGAAGCCTATCCGGCTGTTGGTGTCTCATGGCATCGTAATGGTGTTAAACTCCGACCCAGCCGTCGTCTGCTGGCCACATTGGACTCGACAGGTTTTGTTGAGTTAATCATTTCCGATGCCAAGCTCCATGATTCCGGTGTCTATACCTGTGTTGCCTCGAATGCTGTCGGAAAGGCTGAGACAATGTGCCGTGTTGCCATTGAGCCACTGGAAGACCTAGATGCTGGACGTGATTCACAATCGGTGGTACGCACCATACCCACAATAAGAGCAGCGGATGATTTGCCGTAAGTAATTATTTTTGCAGAAAATAAAAGGAATTCTTTACAGGGGGAAACTGAGGAGAATTTTTTGTATTTGGAGAAAAGTCCCCAGCAACATGCTGGAGACTTCTCTCTGTTTAAACAAATCCTAAGCAATAATTTGGAGACTTTTGCTATAGAAAAATAATGCTTGGAAACTTATTTTCTATCGAAAAATATTCTCAGAAAACCGATAAGGGATTATTCTATAAAAAATCCTCAGCGAAAAGAAAAAAAAACATTTTCTATAGAAGAAAATCCTTAGCAAAATGAAAAAAGATACCTTAGGAGACCTATTTCTAAAAACAAGGAAAGTGTTTTCTATGTTTTTCTCCTCATTTTTCTGATAAATTTAGTTTTTTGTAAAAAATCTCCTCAGTCTGCTGAGAATGTCTTTCCATTGAAATAAAGTCTTCCCAGCTTGTGAAGAAATTTTTTTCTACAAAAAAAATCTCCTCAATTTTCTGAGAATTTTTAAAAAGTCTCATAGGTCTACCGAGCTACTTTTTTCTGTGAAAAAAAAAATTCATCAACCTGCTGAAAAAGTTTTTTATGTAGAAAAAAATTCTCCGAAGTTTCCAGGGAAAGTATGTAATTGCCTCGAATGCTGTAAAAATGTTTCCAGATGACTGCGGGAATCTTGTGTTAAAAAACATTTCCGAAGATTGCTGAAGATTTTTTTTTTTGATAAAAAAAAGTCTCCTCTCCTCGAAATTGTCTTCAAAAAATATTCTTATACTGTTGAGACTTTCTTCCATTGAAAAAATAGAAACATTTTTTTATAGAAAAAAGCCTCCGCAACTTACAAAGGGTTTGTTTTTTGCAGAAAAGTCTCCTCAAATTACTGAGATTTTTTTTTCTCTGGTAAAAAGTCTCGTTCGGTCTGCTGAAAATAGTTTTTCTAGAAAATGTCTCCATAGTTTCCCGAAGAAGTATATTTTGTACCGAAAAATTATTCTCAATTAACTAAGTGAGTCTTGAACAGAAAAGAGCCTCCTCTGTATATAAAAATCTCCTCAGATTCCTTTGGATCTTTTTTTTTAGAAAAAAGTCTCCTCTGTCTGCTGAGGAACTTTTTCTATTGAAAAAAGCTTTCTCAGTCTTTTGGAGATTTTTTCTATAGAAAAATATCGACTCAGTTCGTTAAGCCTGATTTTTCTATAGAAAACAACCCCTTTGTTCGCTGAGAATTCTTTTTAATGAAATAAGACTCTGGTATTATTGAAAATATTTTTTTCCTGCCTTACCCCCTTGTAAACATTACCATCGTTCTCCACTAATAAACAAAGGTTGTTTTTATAAAAACAACAATAAAGGGATTAAGCCTGACCATTTTGCAACAACAAAATACTATGGTATCCCCAACAAACAAGCCAATACTGTTCTGAAAATATTTTTCTTTTGAAAAATGTCTCCCCTGTCTGCGAGGGTTTTTATCTACGAAAAAAAACTTCTCAGCGAGGAGAAAGTCCTACTGAGGATTTTTTCTACAAAAAAAGTGAAAAAAAAAGAAAAGAAAGACTCCGTTGTTTGCTCAGATTTTTTTCTACAGAAAAAAACTCTGTGCTGACGGTAGTAGGAAAGCGAAATGAGGAGACTCCCTTTCTTACCACCCTCCTCATAAGAATATTTCAGTTAATTGTTTCACGTTTTTTGTTTTTAATTTACAGCTACTCCAAGGAGCCATTGTTTGTTGTCAAACCCCGTTCCAGTGAGGCATATGAGGGCGATACCGTCATTATCTTCTGTGAAGTTGTTGGTGATCCTAAACCCGAAGTTGTGTGGTTAAGAGATTTCTTAAAGGTAAGTAAAGAATGGGTTACAAAAATGAAAAATAGGTTACAGATATAATTTCTGGATGGGAGTTCAAATTCGATTTCAGACTTGGGTAGTATTTTCAAAGTCTCAAATGCTATTGATAGTTCAAGTGATACAATATTGTTCGATGGCAAGGCTTTTTCAAGCTACGCCCTCAAAAAATATTTTTTCGGGTATGGCGCCCAACGTAAAATGGTACAATGTTCTTGTAATGGAACAACTATATAACGGAAAGAAGCAATGATTCTTTGTAACTGGCAATGTGGGCATCTGGTTATAAATCCTATTGCGATTATTTGACTTCTGGTATTGGAAAGTATATTTTCGATTTGGCAAATTTAGTTCGACATTCTGCTTCTTAATAATGCAAAACTACATATTATGAAATTTAAAATCGTAATTAACTTTAGTCGACTTAGGCTGAAGAGTCATAGTTTAAAACTCGGTTTCAAACATGGCTGGAGTAGAGTATTTTCGATGTTTTCGAACAGAGTGGTATGCTTAACCCTTCAAATGCTTTTAAGAGCTCTAGTGCAACTAACACTGTTTCATGGCACAGACTCTTCTGGTATGGCGCCCAACTTGTGATGCAACAGAATAACTATAACATGTAAGGGAAAGAAGCAATGGTTAAGATTCTTCTCAGCAGGCCACGTTGACAGCTAAAGATAAGTCGAATTTCGATTAATTGACTTTTTATATTAAATAGTCGATTTTCAATTTTGAAACGATGGTGTTCTCTCAACTAGTTAATGTGTGTGGAGTTATGGCGCCCAACGTGTAAGGCAGAGGAATTACTATATCATATAAAGGAAAGAAGCAATAGTTAATATTCTCCGTTATTGGCGAAATTCAATGTATAACTAGGCGTCCAGTTTTTAAACGAATTTCGATTAATCCACTCTTGGTATTGAAATTCGATTGTCGATTTTGCGACCATAGTTCGTCGTTTTATTCTTTAACGATACAAAACAAATGTTGGAACGGAGTTCAAACTTGGCCAGACGTAGTCAACATTGTTCGATGGCCTTTTCTGGTTGTGCCCCCAGTTAATGTGTGTGGGTATGGCGCCCAACGTAAAAATGGTACACTTTTTAAGAATAATATATTAATGAACGCAACAGGTAATGGAAAGGAACAATGGTTCAAGAGTCTTCGCTCTTGGCGAAACAAATGGAAACATCGAATATTTTTCAAGACAACTTGAGAGATTAACCTCGATGATATTTCCAACATCACATACCATAAACTGTGATGAAACTTCCTCGGGCTCAAGATATGTGGTCCACTATAGTAATCTTCGTTTCTCCCTGTCCCTCAGGGGGAGTATTGAAATAAATGATAAGTCGGAGTTCAAACTTTGCCAGACGTAATCAACATTGTTCGATGACCTTTGGCCTTTTCTGTTTGTGCCCCCAAATAATGTGTGTTCACTGTTTAAAAATTGCGTAAGGATAGCTACCTCTGAGTATGGAAAGGAATAATGGTTCAAGAGCTTTCGCTACTGGCGACAAAAGAGACACATTGAACATTTATCAAGTCAACTTGAGAGTTCGACACAGAATCCTTTCCTGCGACAGCGTAAGGCACTCCTCCCGATTATTCATAGATATAGCGTCCCAAATGAAATCTTCGAATGCCTCCGTGCTTTGATTGATATTTCCAATATCACATACCATAAACGGTGATAAAACTTCCTCGGGCGCAAGATATGTGATCCACCATAGTACTCTTCGTTTCTCCCTGTCCCTCTGGGAGAGTATTAAAAAAAATTATGGATCGGAGTTCAAACTTGGCCAGACGTAATCAACATTGTTTGATGTCCTTTGGCCTTTTCTGGTTGTGTCCCCAACGTGGCGCCCAACGTAAAAATGGTACACTGTTGAAATATAACATATTTATGAACCGCAACTATAGCTATCCAACCTTTGATTATGGAAAGGAACAATGGTTCGAGAGCTTTCGCTAATGGCGACAAAAGAGACACATCAGATATTTTTCAAGTCATCTTGAGTTTTTTACCTCGAAACCTTTCTTGCGACAGAGTAAGGTACTCCTCCCGACTATTCATCCAGTTCAAAATGACCATAAATAGTCCCTCTCAAACCACAAACTGCGATGTGATCGAAGACAGGAGATCTGATTTGGCATAGTACTCATCGTTGCTCCCTTTCACTCTAAGGAAGTATAAAAATCCCTAATAATATCATCTTCGTTATATGCCTACCTCAAATCGCAGAAAAATCTTCCCTTCCCCATAACATGTCTGCTTCTCAGATAGGCTTTGAATGACTTGTCTACAACTTGTCTCATTTGACAGACAACGCCTCTCAGCACCCCAAAACTTCCTAGGAAGAAAACAAAAAAAACTGCGCTTGCGCTACTGTTTACCCGCTGCTCCACACTCACGATCGTTGGCTGGTCGCCAAAAAACGAATGACATTTTCGCCGTGCCAGCAATGTTGGAAAACAGATTTACGATTTGCTCAGTTACTTGGGAAACGTTTTTCGATACACAAGTGGGTTGGTTGTTGGCGAACCCAAACGAAACATAGAACGCTTAGAATTCATTTCAAATACAAATTTTAAATTATGCGACAGTTTTTTTTTGTAGTTGTTGCCATGTTAGTGCAAATAAATGGAGAAAAACAAAACATAAATAAATAAATAAATATTTTGCTCAAAGTCAAGTTCAGACAAATTATGTGAAATAATAGTTTTTTCTCGTTTTACATTGTCGTTGTTGCTGTTGCTGTTCAGAAGAAAAATAGGGTGTAAAAATCTAACTGTTATTAACAATTTATGGGCAATTTACAATTGTTACCAATAAATTCCAGATAAATATTTATTGAAAAAAAAGAATAAATAAAAACAAATGTGGGTTTAAATAAAAATTTCTTTAACAATCAAAAGATTGCAAAGAAATCTTGGGCGTTTTTTAAAACGGGAAAAGTTATAAAAAGGTGCCTTGTGGAGCCATAAAATTTAGTTGGGCGCTGAAATTTAAACGAGACAATCAATTATCGTGACAATTGTTAATAGTTGTGCGTGGAAATTTGGAAAAAGGAAGGGATTCAAGAAACGAAAATATTAAAAACAATCCTCGATAAAAATAAGAAGAGCGAATAGAAAATGTAAAAAAATCCTCAATAAATAAAATCTTAAATAAAAACAAATTAAAACAATAAAAAGAAACTGTAATTTCGGCCGGGGCGAACTTTGAATACCCTCCACCATTTGGAACAAATTTTGCAATTTTCAAAAAAAAAAAAAATAAAATTACTTCAGAATTCTGTTAAAATCTTAAAAAATACCTAATGTATTAACGAAACTTGAAAAAAAAAATATCGGTGAATAATGTCGTTGAAATCAATAAAATACCAAATATCGGGAGGTACTGTTATATGGGGGCTATACGAAGACGTAGACCTGCACACACAATTTTCTGTCATAGGCTTTAGTATTCATTACGAACCTCAAATACCAAATTTGAAACAATTCCGTTGAAAAATGTCGATTATATGAAGACGTGGATCAGCACGGACAATTTTCTGTCACAGTCTTTAGTATCCATTACGAACTTCATATACCAAATTTGAAATAATTCCGTTGAAAAATGTCGCTTAAATCATCAAAATACCGAATATCGGGAGGAGCCATTATATGGAGGCTATACGAAGGCGTAGACCTGTACAGACAATTTTCTGTCTTAGGCTTCAGCATCCATTGCGAACCTCAAAAACCAAATTTGAAACAATTCCGGTGAATAATGCCGCTAAAATCATCAAAATATCGAATACCATAGCATTATATGGAGGCTATACGAAGACGAAGACCTGCACAGGCAATTTTTTTCATAGTCTTTAGTATCCATTACGAACCTCAAATACCAAATTTTAAACATTTCCGGTGAATAATGTCGCAAAAATCATCAAAATATCGAATATCTGGAGGTACCGTTATATGGTGGCTATACGAAGACGTAGATGTGAACAGACAATTTTCTGTCACAGGCTCCAGTATTCATTACGAACTTTACATACCAAAATTGAAACAATTCCGCTGAAAAATATCGCTAAAATCATGAAAATACCGAATATCGGGAAGCAGCGTTATATGGGGGCTATAAGAAGACGTGGACCTGCACAGACCATTTTCTGTCATAGGCTGTAGTATCCATTACGAACTTCAAATACCAAATTTGAAACAATTCCGTTGAAAAATGGCGCTAAAATCATCAAAATACCGAATATCGGGAGGTACCGTTATATGGGGACTATACGAAGACGTGAATCTGCACATTCGATTTTCTGTCATTGGCTGTAGTAACCATTACGAATTTCAAAAACCAAATTTGAAACATTTCCGCTAAAATGTTGCTAAAATCATCAAAATATCGAATATCGTAGCATTATATGGAGGCTATACGAAGACGTAGACCTGCACAGACAATTTTCTTTCATAGGCTTAAGTGTCCACTATGAACCTCAAATACAAAATTTGAAACATTTCCGGTGAACAATGTCGCTAAAATAATCAAAATATCGAATATCGGCCGTTAACGTTATATGGGGGCTATACAAAGACGTAGACCTGTACAGACAATTTTCTTCGTAGGCTGTAGTATCCATTACGAACGTCAAATACCAAATTTGAAACAATTCCGTTGAAAAATGTCGCTAAAATCATCAAAATAACGAATATCGGGAGATAACGTTTTATGGGGGCTATACGAAGGCGTGGACCCGCACGGACACTTTTCTGTCAAAGGCTTTGGGATCCAGTACGAACCTCAAATACCAAATTTGAAACATTTCCGGTGAATAATGTCGCTAAAAATATCAAAATATCGAATATCGGGAGGTATCGTTATATGGGGGCTATATGATAGCGTGGGCCCGCACGAACAATTTTCTGGCATAGGCTGCAGTATCCATTATGAACCTCAAATACCAAATTTCAAACAATTCCGTTGAAAAATGTCG